TCTGAGTACATCGAAACTATATATCTTTGATTTTAACTAGAATTATTCATTTACCAATATTATTACAGCTAAATTTCATCAGTAGGTATATACTACAAAAGTCGAATCGAATTATTTCTATTTGCTTCGCTAAGGTTGTAGAGAGATGTACATCGTAAACATGTTATTCTGTTTTAGGGGCTTTTTTCTCATTAGACGAACAAATTTTATTCTAGATTTACTATAGAAAAAAGTTATATTATGACGAAAAAATAAAAGTCTAATTCTATCTTGAATAATCCAATTTTCTAAGTCTAAAAGTACTTGTCATACAATTAGAGCAAGTAAAATAGATAGAAGTTTATATTAGAAGATATCCATTTGTCGACTTAATAGAATCATTAAATGTTAATAATTTCTTTTGCCATATAAAAATATCACTGTAAATAATGACGCCAACATCCTTGTATAACCAATAATAGTTCAATAACAACAACCGACATGCATTGATTTTCTATTCCAAAAATATTAAATAAATGATACATGCCAGCAATTTTAAATAGATTTTATCAGTTTGTAAACATTAAATTCTTGTAACAATTAGTATTTTTAATGACAATGAGGTACGTGTTTCGTTTTTAATGCGCTAACTGTCAATCTAACCGATGCATTCCATCGTAGATCAGTTATATTTTTTTTTATTCATAGAAACACACCAGACAAAAGTTATTCTTTTTTTTGACAGTTTACCTCATTTTTAGAGCATCACATCATATACAATTAATTATTAGGCTAGACGAAGTTGGTATATAAAGAAAAGCGAAAAATATGTAATGAAAAAACTAGTTGAATACCAACAACATAAAACAAATATTATTCATAAACGATGCATGTTTCGTGATTGATATCATTGCACTATTCACAGGAACTAATCATGATTTCAAAAAATTTTATTAAACTTTTCAATCAAGAAAAAACTTTTTTTTCCTGTTACAATAATCAATAAAAAAAAAAGAAATAAAAGCCAAAACGTTTTAGTTCAAGTTCTATCTCCATTTCTAACGTTCAGCCAAGTAGTCTGTTCAGTCAAGTAGTCTGTGAGATAATAATACCTCGAAAACAAGTACGTGTAGTTTTTAAGAAATGTAGGTCAGAAGAGGCTCATTTTTGTAAAAGTAGATTCTGTGACTAATTTTATTATGTAGAAAGAAAAAGTACTGAAGAACTGCTTTGAACAAATCTTAAGATGAATTTTTTTTTCTCATAGTGTATGAATTTTTGAAACTGTGAAATTGCCTGTAAATCGATCAAAAAATGTTACAAATTGACATGCGATTAGAATAATGGTATCACTGACGGATTAATTATCGAAGAAGCGGAACAGACTGTTCTAGTGATATGTAAAATAAGTTTTTAAATGGGGAGAATGAATCACTATATCCAAAAATAACACTAATCGACAGGAAAATAACTCAAGAACCAAATGGTAGTTCACTTAGATCGATACTTTGAAATTAACGTTATCAAAAGCGTCTCGAAACAATATAATCAATTATATTGGAAAAGTTGGAAAATGAGAGAGTATGAGATTTTTATATAATTTTTAAGCTAAAAAAGGCTTTGGATATTTCGTTTAAAAATTTTAACACTCTTGACTTTGTTTCACATAAATAAGAGTTTGATAAAAATTAAAACATATTAAAAATACAACAAAATAATATTCATTTTGTTATTCATTTATATCGTACAGTTGAAAAGTTACATTTACGTAGTAACAGAATTCAGTTATCAGATTTTTAGCTGAATATTATTTTATCTTCTAAACAAAACTCTCTATTTGATATATAATTGACAATAACTGTAAAAATCTCTCGAAAAGTTATATTTTTAATGAAAATAACTTGCATAAAGTCTCACTGTGATAGCATAATCTACTGGTTCGATCACATAATATCAAATGTAAAGTTGTGCGTCTTGTACGTGTCTTCGGCTTACTTAATAAGATCTAAAAATTTGATGAACTTTGACGAAGAAAGCAAAGAACACTTAGTACGCATGTAGGATGAAAGAGAGACACTTATTTCTTTGTTACAAGGGAATGTTTCTTTCCAAGGTTTTGAATTTAAACGGATAATTTTCTTGTTAAAGATTAGACCATATCTTCCAACTATAGACCTGTTTGCCAGCACAATAATAACAACAACATCTGATACACATACGTCAATCGCTCGCAGACAGCTCGGACTTAAAAGTATTTTTATTTATCTATATATACATAAAAACAGAAACAACAACAGAAAAAAATAGAAAAAAGGAAGGATTCCAGAATATTTCGAGCACACAATGTTAATGAGAGGAAAAAATAAATGAATGACGTAAAATAATGAACAAAAACATTCAATAAAACGAGAAATATATGACTCATATTTCATGCAAAGACACAGGTACTTGAAAAGACAAAATGACAAACAAATACAACAAAAGAAAATTAATAATACATTGTAAATAAATTAACATAATTAAAACGAGTTAGAGCCACAAGTCAAATGAGTATCAAGAAAATGATAATGGCTCCATAAGGACACCAAAACATCGGTTAAATTAATTTTAATTAATAAATAATAAATTTCGTTACACAATTATGGCAGCTGCTGTTACATTAAAAAATCTGTACTAAATTAATATAAACAGTAGTAGTTAACTAGTCAACAAATAATCATTGTTTCTTTTCCTGAGAAGCGAGAGTTTGACAATAAATTATTGTCAAGAATTTTAATGTTTAGAATAAAAATCAGGACAAAAAATATTTGGCACAGAATTTTGCAAGACTAAAACAAACGTGCTTTATTTCATTAAGTCGAACTGAGTGAAACGATAGGTATGGCTACTGGTCATGTGATATTCTTCATAGTGAATATATACTCTACAGTACTTGATATGATGAAAGTAATAGCAGAATGTATAATGGGATAATAAATCAGCTGAAGATATGTCAATATGAATAATATGTCGTAGAAGATAAATATACGTGAATAAAATTCGAAATATTGTTTTTGCTGTTAAAGGAGAAAACACAATGTTTCATTTACTTTTTACATTTCTCACGATATCGATCTTCCTGCATGTCTAATTCTTGTTAAACATTCTCTTTCTGAAAAAAGGCCAAACTATTATGACTTTCTGGATGTGTTCTAATTTCGTCTGTTTTTCGTTTTATTCAGTCGATTTTCCAACCTTCCCGCAGGGCAGTTGGCTCTCTAGTTCTTTATTTCTCCTTTATATCTTGCTATTAAATAGAAAGCGTGTTTGTTTGAGACTTATTGTCAACAAAAAAAAAAACGCCACACTATTTATAGAACAAAGTCAAAAAACAGAACATTCACTTGTGGCTTGTTCTACGTTCATCTCATCTTAAGCCTGCGCTCATATGAAACGAAGCAATTACATAGCAAAACATATATTAAACTAAAGTAGCTGTGAAATAACAAAAATGTAGGTATTTATCAAGTGTTGTTCACCTTAAATATCGAATAGAAAATTTGTAATTCTATTGAAAATGTTGTATTATATGTACGAATGAAGGCAAACAAGACTATTGTGTCGACAAAGAAAACAACAGACACTTGTTGACCGGGATAAATTATTTAACTATTCACTTAGCAAATAAAAAAGAATGAAAGAGAGAACACAAAATTGAAAAAACAACAAGTCTATCACTGTGTTATTTTATTATTTTTCTACGTTTTTTTAAAATGAGAAAAATTCTATTCCACCAATATTAAACACACACCGGGAGACATATAAAGAAAATGGTGTTTTTGTACAATGATTCGATTTTTTTTTTTCTAATGAGAAATATATTTACAAATAAAAAAAAAGAAACTAAATCTGCACAAGAGGAAAGAAGAGTACTGTGAATATTGCACTGGTTACAATAAAATAGGTTTTCTTTTCAGAACTTCTAATATTTTCTATTTTGTTATTAACAATATATACACAATCGTATAATACACAAAAAATTAGATCTATTCTCGTTTTTCCATTGTTGGTGTCGTAGCAACTGTTGTTGTTGTTGTACTTTTTTCTATTAATATATCCTTTAAAAATTCCATTATTTTATTTAAACCAAATAAATAACCATTATCTGGTCCAGTATGTAATGATCCTACATCGGAACTAGTGGGTGCACGCAATGAATGAGCAAAATCAATCATTCTTATATCAATTAATCTAGATTCATCTGACATTGATTGCTCTTGTTGCTGTTGTGAACCTTCATAAATAATCAATAAACTACCACTATAAAATCGATATCGTGAAAGTGTACATATAACCGTATATAATGTATGTAAACGTTCCAGTATTGGTTGAATAACATCAGTACGTATTTGTACACCATTGTCTAAATATTGTCGAAGTGTTTGTTTAAATCCATCAATAGTTAAACTACGACCAGCATATTTATCGAAAAACATATAACGGCCAGAATTAGCTTGATAAACCTTAAAAGAGGTAGGTATATATAGAAGTTAGTATTAAACATTAACATAGGTTTATGAGTGAGAAATTTTCGGCGCTCAAATCGTCTTTTGATCGCGTGCATAAACTTAAAACTTAATGTAGTGGCAAACGTGACATCATGTTGCATCATTTCTTATAATTTAGTCTTCTTGAAGAACTTTTAGAACATCCTGTTCATTCACTCCTTGCATGCTCATCTTAGCGATTTTAGATTATTTCAACAAACAGGAGAGTACATCCAAATACAATGAACCCGCATAAACTTTACAAAACCTACAGCAATCTCGATTAAAAACAAGCACATTCATTTATTTATGAACAAAGATCCTTTTTTAGCTACGAAGTGCCCACTAGCCTCATGCTAGTACGATGTAGAATTTTCAGCAACATACTCATCTGTCCTGTCGATTTAGGTCACAGATCAGTAACTGCATACATTGTGCACGACATCATAGCTGGTCAAACATATAGTCAGACGGCGTCACGTATGTTCTACAGAACGTTTTCTCAAGTTATATATATTTTTTAAATAAATGCCCAGACCACTAGCTGATATACCTTAATCCCATGTGTCGACAATTATGAACATTAAAAAATGCGATAAAAGTAATTTTTTTCTATCTTAAACAATTATAAATATCACAGGAAAACAGAATAGTGAATTACCTGCATGCCGCAAACTCTTGTACCTAATGTTGATGATGTTGATAATTCACATTTTTGTATTTTTGATAATTTTTTTTTATCTGAATCTACATCACCATACTGACGTTTACCCATTTTTAAATCTAACACACATGGATATTTAAAACGTGCCGTAATATTTTCAAGCAACATAAAAGCTGTTGAAAAAGAACATAAAATATTAAAATATGTTTAAAAAAACTTTAAAAGTATAATTAAAACTTACTTTCTGAGACTGTATGTTCTACATTATTTCCCATCATTTGATGCATCTTTTCTTCTTGTTGTTTACACATTTTTAAACACCATGGATTTATTTTTGCTACTGTTTTACTTTGTTCATAATTTATAACATCAAGTAAACCAGTAGATGATGGAAATATTATTGAACTTTCTACATGACCATCTTTAAAACATCTTAACAAATATAATATAATTTTCAATAAAATTTAGATAAACAAATATGAATAACATACTGTGTAGATTTTTTTAAACTATTTGTACAATTCAATTTTGATACTTCTGATGTTGTATTTATCGCTGATGCTTGTGGTTTTAAATCAATTCGATTATTTGTTGATGATTGACGTTGACTTATTTGTTCAGATAATGATATATCATCTTCTACTTGACTATTATTACTTTCAGAATGATCATGAGATGCAACAAGTGTAATGACTCCATTCTCATCGACATGATATTGAACAGTAATTATACCTTTAACAAAAATGAAAACAAAAAAACTGATGTTAAATATAGTCTTATCTATTATTTGTATAAAAAACACTATTACCTCTATATTCGGGTGTAAATGTTTTGAGCATCTCGGGCATCAATTGATAAAAATCTACTTCATGAGGATCTCCCAATTTACATATTGTATTTTTATCATATTCAAACATACTATTATGACCACCAACCTAAGAAAAAGAAACAGAATAAAAATACTTTTTTTTAGTTTTTATAGAAAAACTAACGATATTCTAGCTTTAAGAAAGATTCTGTTAAACCTCGTTTTTTACCAACACAAAAAGCAAGAAAAAAGAAGACAACATACCTGATGGAAGAATGGTACCAATTTAACCGGTTTCTTACACGCATAATTGTTCATTAAGACCATTGAATCAAATCACACAAAGAAAATGAAATAATGAATATGCAAACACTATTTACAAATGAAGAAAAAATCCCAGTCTTAAATCGATTCGTAGCAATTAGAGATAATTTATAATAAACGAAGATTAAGTGATGAAGTTAATCGTAATATTTTGTTATTGTTTCGCAAATACAATCTAGAAACAATAATAAAACAAAAATAAATGCGATTGTTTAAATATTATTTTTTTTATTACTTTTATACCCAACAGAATGAAAAAAAACGAAGAGAAAAGAAAACAGCTGACTGTCAGAATGTATACTTGACTTTGTTTTTATATTGTTGAAAATAAGTATGTCGAAAACTGACATCAATAACACACATTAACCACAAATAATTTAATGTGACACCACAAAATAACTAAAATAAGTTCAAATTAACAAACCAATGACCGCATTCACGGTACTAATCACATGATAAGACAAGACAGAAGGGAAGATGATTTTGACTAGTATGTGATTTCATCTATACTATCATCAATTTTTAATTTGTTTATCAACATATTGAAGACAATCTCTTTCTTTTGTCGAAATCATGATCAATAGCGAATCTAGACGCTTTTCGGTTAGATATTCAAAAGTTTCGAATGAAATTATGTACTAATCATTTCAAACCTAATGATAAAAGCCCGAGTAGGCAATGTAGACCGCGAATTAGCTAAATCTTTGATCATAATGACATTTAATCAAATATCGAACCTACCAGGAAAATGTACGTAGAAAACCGAGACAATTATATTTCTTTCGAAATGATATGACTGATTTTTTGTATTGAACTTGATTAACAATTGTTTGCTGAAAATTATACTATTTCTAATAAGAAAATAACATAAAATATCATTATGTCAATTGTGGTATTACATAAATAATCGTACAAACACTTTTCTGTAAGAAATTATGGAATTAACAGAAAAACAAGATATATATATATATACATATTATTTAAAATGTGTATCTATCTATTTGATTATACATTATTCACATTACCATAATTCACCTGTTTGACCAAAAATAAAAGAAGCGAAACATTTTTTTTTTTTATTTGTTCTACAAAACAACAAGGTCATGATCTAAACGAGATATTCGAGTATAATCTTCACATAGGTTAAATTTCACGTGATTTTATTATTTGAATGAATAATATTTTAAGCTCGCTGATCGATGATATTACAACAGAAAAAACGAATAGTTTGAGTAAAATTTAATTTTATCAATCAAAATGGGGAAACAAATCTGTAAACTATTTATCTATCTTCAAGAGTACATGAAGTATGAAAACATAAATGTAATATAATATAAAGAATTCTTGATATTTAATCTCCTAGCTAAAATACTAAATATAAAAATAACTATTGTCAATAAACGATTATTTCGATTTCATGTCAATTATTGATCATACTGCTCTAATGACATTTTTTTTATTTACTCCATATATAGATATAATCATTGTACTATTTCGTCGTTTTAATATTTTCCTACGCAGGTAAAACGATCGTTTTGACAGTTTACAGACAGGGAAAAAAGAATACATGTCAAAAATAATTACTTTTTAGAATAATGAGAATGAAAGAAAAAAAAAGAAATAGTCTCGTGTACCCCATTACTTGATTTAAACTTTCTAATACATACTACTCCTAATATGGCTAAGCAAACAGAAATTAAAACTATTAAATAACTTCTATATGGATACAATATACACACGATTATCAGATGGAGTCATCTATGTGTCGACACATTCACACAACTCCGAGTCAAAACAATATCAGACACGTTTAGTTTCATTGATATCAAATCAACTGAATAACACACATTATGCAAAAATAGGCTCATTTTCAATAAATTATAAACTAAATGAAGTTAAGAGTGATTGACAAATTGAATAACAAAACAATAATATTTATGTTTATTATAGGATTCTCTTTCTACTACACGTACATAAACCATCAAAACTTTTCCAAGAAAACACAAAAATCTTTCCCAAAGAAAGAGTGACGTGATCATGTTGTTTTGTCTTATTTACCTTGATAATATAATACTATTTTGGATCATCTCTGATAATTTGGAAAATGTTCTCTTGAATTAATTTTTGCTTCATTCAAGGAAATATTCAAAAACTTTCTCTTAGATTTTGTTTCGATGTTGAGATAGTATAAATTCAAATTTCAAAAATTTTTTCGACATAATTTTTTGTTTCACCGAGTGTCATTCCCGTGTATGAGTAGATTTTGTACGTATGGTTTACAGACTGACGGTTTCAAATCAAAGTTACTCAAGAAAGCAAAGTTGAATAGCGAGTTACTCAGAGGTGAACTTTCTCCTAAAATGTTTTAAAAATCATAAAAACTTTCTTACTTTCGGGCAAAAATTCTGAAATCTCCAGGGAAATCCGATATCGTGGCAATATTCTTATATTTTTACTATGCTACCAAATTCACTATAAAGAATAATTATAATATAATGTGGAACCATATACATACACATCGAAACGTATATTTCAGAACAATTTGCTGTTGTAAGATATTGTGAATCCGTGTTGTTCTGTTTTTTTCTTCGTTATACCGTTAGTTACTCATTACAGTACCGTATTGTGATTGCTAACATATGTATTTTATTTACGTTTTCATCTCAAAAATTCTATTCTATTCTAAATTTCGAATTAGACTACTTATTTTAAAATCTTTTTTATTTTCCAAAAGCAACTTCTTTTAATAATGACACTTTTCATTTCAGTTCTCTTTCGAGTTCATCGAACATGTCTTTGAGTTGTTTTTGACTTGTTTCGATAACAGAGTGAGCGACCGTCATATCGACTTTATTTTAGTTAATTACTATTGTTAATAAGGTTACTAACTCGAAAAAATTGAAAAAGTCGAATTTAATCTCAATATAATTTTTAACAAATATCATATAGACACTCTATGGGTTTGCAGATGGGTCTGTTATGCCATTTATATTGTATGATGTGGGTACATTCTGTTTTCTGCGACTGTACTTCAAGATATCATTAAACTAAGCTTGTCTATCCACGCAACGGCTCACATTTTCGTAAGTTGCTCATGTTTTGTCAAGATTGTAGACTTTCGAGAGACGCTCTTACAGAGCTCAGAGAGATCTCATTTTGTGATGGAAACATTTTTCTTTGAAATGATAATCAAGCGAACGCTAACAACTGATACAACGACTGTACAGGTTTTAAACTAAACGCATGATATATTTCAACAATCTCAAAACTCATTGAGTTATCCATGTTTGCTCAATTGTCTAAACATTAGTAACCTACGAAAAAGTGGACCGTTGCAGGCCGTAAGGTCCAGAAAGCATACACTGGAACAAATCATAACTGATTTAAAAAAATATATTCATGTGAAAAAATGTTATATTTTAGACTCCTGAAATGTCTTTGAAACACCTCAATGACTCTCAAATCATGACAAAAAATCATAGCCTCAGAATCTTATATTTATGCTAGACTTACGATAATTGACAAACAATCGTCGAACTAATACGTTCTTGAAAAAGAGAACGATATTTTTTGAAATTTCTGTTCAGTCACAATAATTATTTTAAAATATTTATTCCTGAACTAGAAAGAAAATACTTTCCAAAACGCAGTTGCATTCGATGCTCACTTTTAAAAATAAGTGTTTGAGGAAAGGTAGTAAGCGACGCGTGACAGAAAGAAAATTTTCATACCTTCTATAGACAAGATCACATGCAAAAACACAGATAATTAGTTAATTTCTCAAGCGGAAATACATGCATGAAATAGGTCAGACGTTGTCTCAGACAGTTGACTGTAGCAAACGCTTTGGTTGTTTACATAAATAAAAGCTTTTGTAATATTCTCCTCCGCATTTTTCAGATCGCTTTTCCAACAGAAGAGCCGCTGAAAAAAAAATGAGAATGAATTGTTGTGTTGTTGATTAAACGATCGAACGCTCAAACGCACTCCGCCATGTTTTTTCTTTTTCCAGATTTTCAGTAGCGGTCCAATCAAAAGAATGGAATAAGAAGAGGTCGTACGCACCCTGGTAAACGATACCATTCAAAGCTGAAAGCCACTAGCTATTGTAACTTATCTTTTTTTATGAAAGCAACTGGATTATCATTTTTAGACTCAAAGGGCGACATTTTGACATTTTTTATATACAGCGTTGAAGACGCTATGGGAATTTCCATATGTGTTATCAGATTTTAAATCTGTTAACACACTATGTTAAACTGCATAGATCCAAAATCAATCGAGATAATATAAGTTACAATGACACCATCGAATAAGATAGCAATATCCTTATTATATCAAAAAATGAGCTGAATGGGACCGGACCACAAACAAACAAGGAATTGTTTGGAGGGTTTCATAAGTCATACCTAGCTCGTCTAACTCTTTTGTAACGGGTACTTCAGAAGAAATTGCTCTCTTGGTATTTTCGTCTCCTTTTTCTTCTATCGATCTGCGCTACTTCTTTTTGCAAAAGATGCGCCTTGAAATACTCTACAACATCATACCGTAAACTATAATTTAGTTTACGTGTACAATAGTAACATCATCGAACAACAACTGTACCAACTTTGACAGATTAGCCAACAGCGGACGGTAATGAAAGAACAAGCATATAGTGAACGACCTGTGGCATAATCCAATGTTTTGGAGCCATTGACATAATGTTTGTTCTAACTTCATTGTATTTCAAACTGTTGTCAAAATGTTTAACTGATGTTTTCTCCCTTCTCTTTCGTTTTTTGAGTTCTTGATCCGGCTGTGTTAGTCTGTTAATTCGCGATAGTCAATGAATTTTTATGTAGCAACCTTTACGAAAAAGAAAACCTTTTGATATGAGAAGATCTGTCAAAAATAAAGTGTTTCTTAAGGTAACTGACATACTGATTTCACTATGTTTTCTCTTCGGGAACACAATCCCAAGTCGTTCATTCCTGACTCAGGATCCGGTCGAAGTCGGCCCGATCCGATGCCGGAAGGCATTGGGTTCCTGCAAAATCCGTCCCAATCTGTGGTGGATTGCATCCTATTGCCCGGATTCCGATCGGAAATTGTATGGAAAGGATCCCACCGTCAGAAAATAGCATCGGAAACCACCGGGTTTCATCTGATTTAAAGGTAATTTTTCTAGCTGTTAAAAGCTAATATTTAGCCATAAATATCTTTCTTCGTGTTTACTATTTATTTTTTGAATCAGTTCCTGGGACTAGCCCAAGGTGTGTGTGACTGACTGAGTCACACGTCTTCGAACAGCAGTGAGTTTCGATGACTCACGCTGTTCAGTGTGAAAACTTGGAGAAAAATAATCTCGTGTTTCTTGTTCTACAGTGTAGTATTTATACTAAAAACGCCAAGAAACAAATTGATGAAATTTATTCATCGTACAGAGCAGCAAACGGAAAGCCAGGGCTATAGGTGGATGAATCTGTTCACTTCCGACCACCAGATTCGAACGGGTTCGGTCATAGGTGCGGTGGTCGAATTCACCTTAGTTCCAGACATTGGAATATAATGGAAGAAACAGAAATGGAACGAAATCCGCTCATCGGATCCGATCAGACGTCATACAGCCGGAAATAGTCGGAATGAAACGGATCCTTCGGGATTCGACAGGACGTTTTTCACCTGGGATGCAATCAAGGTGAATCATTCATCTTAGGCCCGCCTTGAGGTTGAGCTTAAAGTAACAGCAGTTTTATTTGTTAACACGCTTTCTATTTGTTATAGAAACTATGTTAACGGTTTTGAAATTCTAGAAAAATTTTGATTGTTATTCTAAAACAGCTTCAATCTTAGACTTCTCTAACTTCTTTCGTGTATTTATCAACTAAGCTTCGATGTATAACTGGTATTTCATCTCAAAATAGAAGTGAGAGCGGTCAATGTCTTATGGTTCGCGTGTGAATATTACCGATTAGGTAACGTTTGCTGTATGTGAAGAAAACATTCGCACCTGGATGTCCTACAATACTTAACGTTAATTTGTTTCTTACGTTAAGAATCCCATATTTCGTTTAGAGGTTAAGCTGCCATTTTGTTTTTCCCGCTTCTTACGTAACATTTCGTTTTCTTTCCTTCCGTTAGTTATCAAGTATGTGAGTTCTAAATTTAGACGTAAGGCACAGAACAGGCCACATTATATTCGAATATAGCGAAATGCCATGCAAGTAATAAACGACTATAGCGATACCGTAATTTTTATTCCTTTTCTTCCTTTCGTTATCTATCAATCAATACTCATGTTTAACGACTACACGACGGCCCATCAGCTCAGCTGATGAAGAGAAAAAAAGCATGCCACCAGACGTAACTTTCAATGCTCTATTCAACTATATGTGAATTATTGCATTTGGTCAATGGATCAAAACCGAGAAAAAAAACAGTAGAAGATGGGTCTCAAATACAGTGTTTGTCGTAAAGTGTGTGTGAAATCATAAAAAACAGCGCACAGAGCTCGCCGACGTCTCACTTTGTAGAAAAAATGTTTGCTCTACATATGTAATGACTGAAAAATAGTTTGTATGTCCAGATCTTTGAGATTTGTATCAGAATTTAGAAAAGTAAGAAAACGATGAAACATATATCTGTCTCCAATATTTAGTGCATCATCTTAGTGTTTTAAAATGTTCTATTACATATAAATTGATACAGGATTCCCTCCCCTACAAAATGAAGTAAGATTTATTTTGGGATCGCCATATACATGGCTTATATTTAAAAGCATTGAGAAAAATGCAAATTTACAAATATGGAATATCTTATAGCTTGGATGTTTTCGTGGCGCACTTTCAAATTTCCAGTTGAGCTTTTAGTCAGTCTTCTAGTCGATTTTAGCTGAATCTTGTTCATTATCATATCATTTTAGCTGTATCTTGTTTTCTAAGTGACATATTTTTCTTTGCTTCCTCTTTCATCTTGATCAGTATCGATACTTGTATTAGACAAATTTGTAATTCTTTTGAATTATTACTGCTCAACGAAAAGGACATACCAAATTTCTGATCAAAAACGAATGAGCCAGGCTTCTACCAAATATGTATCGCGTTCGCTGTAGAAAGTGGAACTCTTTGAGAAAGATGCGGAAAAGTGTTCTTCTGTTTTTCCTTCCTGTAATATTTGGTGAGGAGAAGAGTTTCCTCAACCTTCTGGCATCATAACAAGTTTACAAAACAATCGTCAAAGATATGACGATTTTGTTGAGAAGATCTTCTCTTCTAACTCTGTCTCGCTATTGCTAGTCCGCAATGGGAGCGTCCATATCTAAACCAGCAATGAAATACTATACCTTGTAGTATTAGACTTCTCACCCGGTTATCTTAAACATGGGTTAGGATTTTCGCAGATAATAATGTTCAGCGTACTTTTTTCCACATTATGGATAATCATTTCTGATCGTCCTGCAACCAAAGAATTTTCAATGAAGACGACTTGAATGAGTAAATAGAGCAAGAACTGATTTCGATCTTCTCATTTGACTCTCATAATCATGATCGTGAAATCACTGTACACGACAAGAGAGTACTTCATCAAAATAAGCTCTATCAAAATGAGTGTTGATGATCGTCCAATGACTTGATGTTGTTGTTTGCATATACTCAAATGAGTTGGAACTTTGGAAATCTTCAAAAATCTTCGTTTTGAACTTACTTAATCGTTAAATGGAACAAAGCTAATCTCTCCAAGTGTCTTCAATAGAAAAAACTTGGTATGAGGTTTACGTCTGAGCTTGTCCATTGGTCATATACAGAGAGACACTAGAGTACGAACAAACGTGAATGTAGAAAATAGATTCAAACGCAGTCACCATATAGATATAGATAATGATTACTATAGTATGTTCATGTATCGCACAAGATAACAATCGTCGTTTATAATTTACGGATGAATTTCTAGATTTAAAAAAGTATATTGAAAGAACACATTATAAAATGTTCGATTATACACTTCTCAACTATAAAATTTGTTTTTAGCAACAAGGATGAGAATTAGTACATTTGTATTGCTTCCTACTGTCTTGGTACGAGAAACAGTGAGATAATGTTTTGGTATCATTGAAGTATTTTGTTTAGCTTCTTATATTTTATAACTAAAATACTATTTTATTAATGCTACTTTTCTGTTTCTTTGTATGAAAAGTCAAGACTATGATATATCATTTATAGAAGTTTCATACACATAAAACAATGCATGTTGAGTATCAAAAAGTAAATAAAGGATAGACATTCTGAAAAAAATTGGATATAACACATTTTTGTTAATTATTCAATTTAACGGCTCACTCTTTTATAGAAATAAAACTTCACCAGATGATAAAGCGATTTTTGAGAAATGTACAGGTATAAAACAGCTGATGCAACAAAGGACTCAAAAATATATCGCAAATAAGACATATCTGACATAAAAGTTCTCCATCAAAGGAAACGACAAGTAGATAACAACAAGTCTCAAACATCAAGGAGGCATACTGAGATGATACGCTCATGTCGAAGTCAAGCTCTCTGTCTGTGATGAGTAGAGTATATAATTGTTTTTACCAATTGATTCTTAAATACAAATTCTGTTAGTCTACTAAACAGAAATATAAAGGGCAGTAGAACAGCGAGATACTGTATCCATCCCCATTTGAATTCTTGCCAAAACCCGGGAATAAATCGAATTGATTGTTGTTTCACGTTGATCACAACACTTAAGGTAAAACTGTTGCTGATGTTGCATGACCAGCTTGCATACTGCTGTTGAAATGTTGTATAATAGTTTCTAGTAAAATAATTATCTAATATTGTGTTTAAAACGGGTACCGCACCGTTATCGTATGTTAGAATTGATGTATTCAATGATGAATCAACACCAGAACTTTGTATTGGTTTTCGTTGTTCAAAAACTAATTGCCCATAAACAGTCACATTATTTGAATACACTGATTTCGGCGGAACAAGGCTAATTAACGCTAATGTTTCCATTACGACGGATTGTCGACCACGTAATTCATAATCAAAAAACAACCACGCATCTATATTTCCTATTTTATACGCGCCAGCTAGAGGAACAATGAAGTCAATTTTATATTGATCGATAATGCCATCACTGTCAGTATCGTTTGCTACACTTTTTTGATTAGCGTACAATAAAATCGATGAAAATGCTGCATTAAGCGATATATATGATGATGAAAAGCTACGAGCACCATTTCCCATTGCATTCTGGATACTTAAAATATATTTATTCGTATATGTTATTCGTGGTTGTTCGCTATAGTTAAGTTCTTTCCACCAAAATCCACCAGTAAAATACGCCACAAGAATTGGACTTAGAAATGTGAGAACGGCAACAACGATCAGGAACAATATACTTGATGAGAAAATACGCGCTTTGTACCGGCATCGTTCAGGATGTGAATAAACTTCATACAATGGCATTTTCTAAACTAAAAAGCTCTGTGCGAAAGAGTAAGATCTCTAGCCCTGTGCCAGTTAGTCAAATATTATGTACGCCATGCCAATTTCTCAATGCTTTAAAGCTATAGAAAAGTCTCTATAGTGTCGAAAACATGTAACCTAATTTCGGTAATAGAGACATTCTGATATAAATACACCTTAGAGATGAAGTTTGCGCCTGAGCAAAAACTGCATTATTAAAAGTTATAATAATTGTAAAGTGGTTGAAACTCAAAAGACTATTCGTTCAGCTCTCCAACCAATAGTCAGCAGTAAAAATCTGGAATAAAAAAATAATAATAATAAAATATTTGTTATGCTGTTCCCACCGATAGTTGTCAATCAGCTCGCAGAAAATTTTAAAAAGGCCAGCTGTCAAGTATAAGAATGTATAGAATGGCGGAGAAGAAAAGAAAAAGTGGAGCTGGTCTTTACGTTTTTCATGCATGTGAAATATTTTTTTCGGTAAAAACTAATGGTTGTTTCCTTAAAGTCAGCTTTTAAACTAAATTTTGACAGCGACATCTGAAAAATTTTCGTTCATCGAAATATTGTGGTTATTGATCTATTTCATGAATTACTAATCAAGATTATTTTTCATATTCTTAAAGTCTGACGGCATTTATCTTTGCTGGCTAACGTCTATAAACACAATAAACTGCTATTAGTTCTCGATCTAATAAATTCAGATCATGTGAAGACAGAAATGAACGCTAGGAAAGACGGTACTCAATAATTTTAGAAAAATGTTTGTTTTTAACGAAATAAAGAAAGAATTTTCTTTTTCAAAATTGAATTTGAATGATTTTAACAAGTTCTCGTAAATTTTTATCATTTGTTAGTCAGTGTCACAAGACTACATAAATTTTGTCTGATTGACTACAATTATCTGATGGACCAATTAGATAATAATTTTCATTTAAATTTATCACCGTTAAATGATTAATTATTAGCACAACTGAATATTCTACAATTCGAAAAAGATTAATCGATTTTATGATTGATAATGAAATTGAGAAAATAAGAGCAAATTGTATTCATAAGATTGAATGAGACAGATATTATGTGCTGGAAAGATTGTACATGAATCTGTTCCTGTAAATTTGAAAAAGTTTGTGTATTTAAATTTCGGATTTTTCAATGGAACTAGTCACGATACTGTACACATTGTTGTTTAAGTCGAACAATTATGTATTATATCACGGAAGAATAATGACTTATAATAATTAATATTGAAGAAATTATGAAACATGGTTTTCCGATTCGGAAAAATTTTACGAACTTGTTTCTTGTTCAAATTGTTTTGTTGATTAATCAGAGCGATTGAAAATACCTTTTGGACAAACTAAAAACTTGAATGAATCTGTAAGTAGAATATAATTGTAAGACTCTATCTATGTATGTGACATTCTTGTGTTTATTTTCTAGGCTGAATACGTTCATATTCTCAATGCAACAATTTGTATCATACTAGGAAATTATTAAGTTAAAGATGATATTCTTGTTCTAGATACGTTGAAACCATTAATGCCACAGATAAAAACTATATTTTAATTTTTTCCTAGGAGTATGTAAGATGTCTCTTCTCTAATTGAAGAATACAATGGAAAAAATCTATTTGTTAACAAAATAGCATCATTTAAGCAAGAAGCACAAACAATCACGAAAAAGCTCTTTACTCAATAAACAACTGCAATCCAGTTTTTACTTTCATTTTTATTGTTGTTATTCTTAATCAAAGTTGTTCTTGGCGTTGTTTATTTTTTATTTTGAATATTATAAAATGTTTTCATATTGTTAGCCGATGAGAAGAAAAACGTAGTCGAGAACTGTAGTTAAATGGGCTTTTTTATTACGTAAAAAATAAGCGCTTGTTATATAAGTTTTCATATTTGCTATCTTTCAGTAATTCATGATTGAAGAAAGTGTATGGTGTTGCGAAAATTTTTTCTACGGCTTCTATATTGGATAAAATCTATTTAGGGCTTGATATAAGAGAACGTGCACGAAACAAATAAGTTGAAGTCGAATAAAAGATCAATAACAATTTTTTTGTTGTAACTCTAATTATAAAAATAATTTCCAAATAGGATCGATCAAGTTTTTTGATGTTTAATTAAAAGTAAAAAAACATTGTTTCATCCATTTGATGTTCAATCGACAGATTGTAGTTTATTAAGTTCACACGTTGTTTTCTAGAAGAAAATGTTGCGTCGTCAAGTACGTCTTCGTAGAGAGTATGTTTATAGAAAAACAATTGAACAAAGACAAAAAACTATTGAAGATAAAAAACAACGTTTGAAACGAGCACTCGATGGTAGGTTTGAATGATAAACATGATATGACATAGTATAATTTTTTTTTTCTTTCTATTTTAGAAAATATGTCCATACCAAACGATTTACGGAAAGATGCGTTAGATATTCAGAAATCATTGGACTGGGATGGAGACGGTGGCGAAGGTAATTAGAATATTGACTTGCTCGTTTAAAGACACATCGATGTCTGTTTTTCTTTAGGTGTATTGAATGCGGAAGACGATGAATATCGTTGGGCCGGTGTAGAAGATCCAAAAGTAATAATAACAACATCACATGATCCAAGTTCAAAATTAAAACAATTTTCCAAGGTCTGTTTGATTTTTTCAAACAAAAAAAAACATGCACAGTACTCAAATGTTTTTTATTTTAGGAGATAAATCACTTGATACCAAATTCTCAACGAATTAACAGAGGAAATTATAATACAAAACAATTGATAGAAGCCTGTCGTGGAAATCAAGTAACCGATCTTATTCTCGTACAAGAAACAAGAGGCATACCAGGTAAATGTGACATTCATAAGCAGTAGTATTACACGTGTAACAAAGTTTTTTTATCTCAATAATACAAGATACGAGAAGAAGATCTTGAGCATCATTTTTGAATATTAGATCATTTTTATCTATAGATGTTATTCAAATCAGCCATTTTCCATATGGACCAACAGCCTCATTTTCATTGAATAATGTTGTTACACGACATGATGTTCCAGATGTTGGTCCTATGGCCGAGCAATATCCACATTTGATATTTAATAACATGACATCAAAGTTAGGACAACGTGTAAGTTAAATTTGTCGCTGTTTTGTTTCACAATTTGTAAATTTTTTACTTTCGTTTAGACAATGAATATATTGAAATATTTATTTCCAGTACCAAAAGAAGATAGTCATCGTGTAATTACATTTGTCAATGAGGATGATTATATTTCATTTCGGTAAGGATTTTCTTTATCAAACATTTGCTATCTCTTTATAATTCATTATAATTTATTTAGTCATCATATTTACAAGAAAAATGAAGGCGATATTGAGTTGGTGGAAATTGGACCACGTTTTGAAATGAAATGTACAATAAAGACTTTCTTTATAGGCTGATTAAAAGTTTTCTTTTTCTTTTCTCGTTCTAGTATATCAAATTAAATTAGGTACACTTGATCAAATAGATGCAGCTGATACAGAATGGCAATATCGTCCATTTATGAATACGACCAAAAAACGACGATTTTTGACAGATGAATAGAAAATGTCCTTTTCTTGTTTAGTTGTTTTTGTTATGTTTTGTTTGTTGATGATAATAAAATATTTCTTCGAATCTAACATTGTTCATTTCTTTCTTTTTTTTATAACGGTACACTACTAGACGTTTCAATTGTCGTTTCTTCTTAACTAAAATATATAACAATGATCTCTTTGGTTTCTAAGATTCGAAATCATTGATTATTTCATTTATTCCTGAGTCTTACTGTCATATTTCTTTTTCATCTTGAAAACAAATATGAGATGATGTTCTATGTATGTTGTGTTTCAATTTGATTTCTTGTTGATTATATTTATTGTAAAAAAAATGACATGGAAGATTTATATACAAGCATCTTTACATCAAGTAGCTATGTATGAAGGTTGATACAAAACGTTTTTGAATTGTGTATAAAAGATTCTACAGTTGATATTATTTTAATAATTTGAATAGAAGGTCTTCTTTCTTATTATACATATTCATTAAAAAGAGTATGTAAAAAGAGAAAAAAAAATTTCGTATTCTTTCTTTGTCTCTTGTGTATGGCTTCTATTTTTTGAAGAAAAAAAATAAGAATGGAATAATCAGCAGTATATTAGATAGTAGAATGAAAAACGAAAACAAAAGACGAAACGAAAAAACAATTGATTTATCTTCATATCATCTTAATTCAATAATGTGAAAAGATGTTAATTGTTTATGTTTTCTTTTTGTTTTTAGATTGTATTTTTCAAAAATACTAGACATGATTTTGAAAACGAAAGCGATTTGTAGATATTAATTCATGTGAAAAAAAATAAATTATGTATAATACATGAATTATTACCTATTCAGTTAATTACATTCCAGTTTATTTGTGTATCTACGGTAAATAAAATAAGAATATTACAGATTTTTATAATTTTATCTGTTGTATGAATAATTTTGAGTGTTATTTTTAGTCAGATTTATTATGTCATTATTTAAAGCAAGAGAATGGTGGTCATGCAAAGCAGGCACAGATGAAACATATGATTATGGATGCATAAAAGTTGGAATATTTAATGAAGATACAAATAGTAAGTGAAGTTTTTATAAATTAAAATATTTTGTTTAAAACGGATTACTTTTTTTGTCTTTTCTTTTTTGTTGTCATCTAGGTAAGATAGTTGTTGGTAGTCATTCGGGTGTATTACGAATCTACAATCCTATACATCGTGACGAATTATCAGATAAATCAATTACAAATTATGCCAGTGATTTATTGTTAGAAAAATCATTAAATTCATCTATTATTCAAGTTGAAATTGGAAAATTTGTTAGGTTTGTAAAAAATGAAACACATTTATTTTTATAAATTATTATTATCTTCTAATTTTTAGTACATCAACGTTAGATCATATAGCAATATTGTTTTCTCAAAAACTGTCGGTATTTCAATTAACTGGTATGTAAAGAGTAATTCTAACTAGCGACTTAACTACAGATATACATAGTCACGATACTATTCACTGCCATGGGAAACTTTTTCAAAAAAAGTTTTCTATAGATTTTTCGTAAACATGTTGACTGATTATTTATCAGCTAATACTAAGCAACCAAACTGTAGAGTAGATAATGTAACATTTTCTTTAAATAGATTTTTCTGTTTAACTTCTCTGATATGAAAACTCGTGACTAACTTTTCTTTATGATGAAAATGTACATTCCTAGACTAGACACACAAATGTCTTCAGTGTTTGTTTTCCAATTTAGAGCAATCAGGTGTAACGGAACATGGTCGTCAATATGAATTGGAACTTAACTATGAGCATAATTTAAATCGACCAGCATTTAACATGTGTAAAGGACAATTTGGTGGAGGAAAATCAAGTGCGTGAGAAGCAATTTATATTAAAAAAATAAAAAATTCTATTTCAATTATTTTAGAGCGTGATGATGCTCGCGAATATATTTGTGTTCAATCAGTTGATGGTGTGTTGTTTGTATTTGAATTTGAACGAAATTCCATGGTAAAATCGATACCCGGATGTTATCTAGCAGGACCAATTTGTTATTTGCCACGGTAAATATTCAAGAAAATTTTTGTTCTCTTCTATCCGTGTGACTATCAACAAGATAATTTATAATCTGTCTATTTCTTACATAGTCAAGATGCTTTCATTACTGCAGCCAGTAATTGGCATATCGAATGTTACAAGTATGTACAAATTAGATATAGAAAATTGATTAATCTCTTCTCAACTATCCTTTAGATATCAAACACTTGCAATATCGAGCGATCAAGGAGATAAACGAGATCTCGAAGCATCTGGTACGACAAGTTCAAGAAGAGTTCTTGTATGTTTAATGATATGAATATTTTACTAATAATGATAAACACAAATCTTTTTCTGTCTATTTCTGTCAGCCCGAATGGTCATTTAATATTGGTGAATCCGCCTTATCTATAAAAATAAGTAAAACAAAAAATGCTTATTCCATATTGTGTTTGGGTGAAAGAAATTTATTTTGTCTAAATGATCATGGTCAATTATTATTTATGAAGAAATTTGAATATAATCCAAGTACATTTATCACATACGAGACAGGTATAATTAAAATTGATTATTCATTGTGTAGATGTTTACATTTGTCTTGTATATGATCACCATGTGTCCATTCAGAAAAAATTATTATATTTCTAAAATTGTCATTATCAAAGTGTAGAATAAAATTTAAGCGTTTAAATTTATGTTTTTAGATCAAAATAATGATGGAATTCGCTATATAATTGGTACACATAGTCGTACTTTATTTATTAATCATGACTCAAATATTAAATGGGCCGCACACGTAGAACAAGTACCTGTTCAATTAGAAATTTGTACTATTCAGTAAGTATTATATTATTCCTAACTAACATTATGATTATATCATAGAAACAATGTCGATTTAACGATCGCATAGCAGCATGTTTAAAAAGAATTGTCGGTTTATATGAAAGTTTTTTTTCGCATTCACATTTAATTAAAAAAGATAAAATATATACTATTACGAGTGGTCCACATTACATTGCCGGTCTTTGTAAAGTTGTTTTCTCTGGTTAAAATTGATCAGAAAATTTCGTTTCGATGCTAAAAGATAGAGAATTTAGTCATGTATTCATTTTGAAATAAGTATTTGTCGTTTCTAGGCAAAACTAGAAGTACTGGAAGTCATAAAAAGCTGAGTTGCTCAACTAAAGAATTAGAAAGTTTCAGTTAGATAAAGGTAAACATTTGGTTTTAACAATAAATGATAGAGAATGTTTCTGTGTATCTGTGTCTTTGATAATAATTATAGAATGAAAGGCGTCAAAAGGCTAATAAAGAGGTCTAATTTGTAGCCGATTTCTACATCCGTTAAACATCGTCTCAAAATTTGGTCTTGTATCTAAAATCTTAAGATTTGATTCTGGTTTTTAATGTCTTGTTTGAATCGCCCAACAAAACTATTTTGACTACTAAAAGTTGTACTTGATTCTACACAAAGCGTTGAGAAACTCAGTTTTTTACAACTTCCAGTACTTTTAATGTTGTAGAGAAACGGCAAATCCTTATTTCAAAAGGAATATATGACTAAATTCTCTATCTTTTAGGATCCAAACGGAATTTTCTGATCAATTTTAACTAGAGAAAACAGCTTTTTGCAAAGATCGACAATTTAATCTTGACCACCTGTGACATAAGTAGCATTGTTTAGAGGAATTCGTGGTATGATCTGTTCGTTGAGTGAATTTGGTGATGTACAATGTTATTATTTGGGTACTGATCCTGTTTCAACCACGATGCCACTAACATCTTCAAGTCGTATTGATGTAAGTGACGCTGAACAAGGATTAATGAAATTACAAAAAGAAATCAAATTAGCAATGAATGATCCGTGTATGTATGTATAAAAGAAATGAAAATATGTGATTAATTATTGTTTTGTTTTTTAGCACTTGTGGTCAAACGAAAATCTAATGCGAAAATGACAATAAGCGTTGAAATGCCAAGTGAAAAAAATTCTTTTTCTGTAAGAAGTCGTATCTTTCTTTCCTTGGAGAATTACATTAAATATTTTAGATGGCAGATGAAATTCAATTTCAAGATTCTGATCCAGTACCATCACTCACCGTAAAAGTATGTTTAGACAATTTTTTCGCTACCAATAACATAAAGTGGTTAATTATTTTGATAAAGGTACAACTGAGAAGTTCCGAAGCAGTTCAAAATGTTTTATTAAATATTCATTGTCACACACCAATATGTGCAAAACCGAATGAAATACGATTTGGATCAATGGGTAGGAATGATAAGAGTTGATGGTACCTATTCATTTTTTATTTTTTTAATCTTTAGGCATAAGTCCCGTTCAAACCGAAGTTACATTTTGGATGAAAGATGATCTGACACCCACCTCATTAGATGTTACATTAACAGTAACATTCAATACATCCGATAGTAAGTCAATTTTAATTATTATAACACAAAGAATTATTTCATTCTTCTTCTTTTTTCATATATTTGTCATACGACTCAAAAACAATATAAATTACCATTCAAATTGATCACACGCCCTTGTCCACCTTCTCAGCAAACAAAATGCAAAATAACAATTGGCGCTAATAAACCTGTTGTTGACTTATTAACATTATTTCCGGGTATTTAATATAAAGAATAGAATAAATAATAATGTGCTAAATGATGTTAATATTGTAGAATTGTCGGAAAATGGTCAAAATAATTTGATTTCTGGGCGATATTTTGGTACAGGTGGTAATGTATCCGTAATGGCATCAAAATCTTCTCGTATGTATTCTTTTTTTTCAAAAACTATATATTATTTTATAAGTAAAATTCATTTTGTTTTAGAAAAATATCGTTTTCAAAGTGATTCATTAGCTAATATATGGTTATTTAGTCAATTTTTAATTGAACGTCTATCATCGACTAATAGTTCAATTGAATTTGAATATGGTGAACCACTTCCTTATTCAGATTATTTTGAAATAATTGATAGACATTATGAAGTATATCTATAAAATTAACAATCAAAAATCTTATTTTACTATATCATAGTTCAATTTTAGTTACGTATTGAATGTGAAAAAATAAATGAAATGATTGATGTTTGTTCAAAACAATTTCGTGCCATTCAAAAACGTTTATTAAATAAATTTAAAGATAAAACACCAACATTACTTGACAATCTCGATGTATTATTAGAAAATACTCATCATCAAGTAAAATAGTTTGCCAATTGAATAGAATAATAATCATATTAGAAAAAAAAAATTTCATTTTTATTTAGATCGTTGCATTAGCCGACCATTATGAACAAATTCATCTTGAATTACATAATTGTTCACATCAATTATCGTGTGCAACAAAATTAATTAATTTACTATTAAAAATAAGTGTAAATATGTCAAATGATGATGAACGATTATTAAATTCTATTTTAACACCTATTGTGAATGATGATAATGAACAAGTAAATAAAAAAATGATAAATAAATAAATTTCTATTATTAATATTTTTTATATTTTAAAAAAGGGTTGGGAAGAATATGTTGATGCTTCATTAACATTTGCTCTACGTACAATGTTATCTCGTTCATCAACAAAAGGCGATTTGATTCCTGCATCATCAGCAACATTTAATAATTCTACATTAAATATCGATGTTACTAAATTAAAAAAACGTATACAAATGTTTTGTGATCGTTTAGAAAAAGGAGCATCATTAACATCCAATTCATCATCCGTTACATTTGAAGGTATAAACAAATTGTAGTTCTATTAATTAAAAATATTTCATTCTTTTTGTGATTTAGAAAAAAATCATGATGATCATCAGGTACCAAAGAAAAAGAATATAATAAATGGAGTAAAACCCGTTGTACAACATAGAGATGTTCCATCATATGATAATAATGATCAAATGGAAAGTATGTAACTAGTATATCTGATACATACTCGATTAATTACTTACTTTAATTACTTTTTTTATTAGATAAACTATTGCCTATGAATGAACAACACAGTGATTATGACGATGAAACGTGACATAGACTCGTTGTGAATTAATTACCTGTTTTTAATAAATTTTGTAACGCAAACAAGAATGAATTTTTTATTTTGTACGCTTTTTTTTTGTATATGTATATTGATGTATTAATCAAATACGGGCATTCCTCATTCATGCTTTATGTTTTTTAGTTTTGTTCTCATTTTGCTTTGACAAGCAAGAAAAAAACAGTGAGAGTAGAATAAATACTTTTTTTCACTTTGCTTTTTTTATAACAAAGTTCAAATGGTATGACAAAATAATAAAGTCAAATAATAAGTTTGTATGTGTGTATACACACGTAAAACTTATCCTAGGAACAAAATAGTAAATAAAAAATTTTGTTTATCACAGATCATCTACTGTCTATGACTCTTTCTCACACATTTTTATCATTTTGACGCGTGTTTTGTCCATCAAAATGATGGATGATCTCTCTTTGGTTGATAAGTATTATTTCGATAGAAGCTACTGTTCATTTCAAAGAAGAATGTGTGATTGTGAGTTGAATAACTCAAGAACACAAAGAGCTATCGAGATCGGGTTTTCACCGTCGTGTAGCCAATCCTATAGGATGTAACTATATATGAATGCTTTGCAATCTCATTGGACCATTGATATTTTATCAGTATTTTGCTTATATAATCAAATCTACTGAATGTATCTGAATTATTATTTTTTCATTATGTTCCTGTAATATAGGACTACTACCCTGTGAAAAATCGAGGTTCTATTTCGTACAGTCACCGAATTATGATTCTCTCAATTTTGTGCTGTTATCATGTGTTTAGCTCTATCTGTCAGAAAAGTGAGTTTTGCCACACGCATGTACATTGTGGAGGCGATTTTGTTTTTGTTGTTTGAATAGTACACATCCATAGCTAGTAGAATATGTAATTGACTCGCCGATATATATATATATCCTATCTTATTGTGGCTCAATACAACACTCTGATGACTCACACTTTTCGTTTTTTTGTAGTGTAACATTAAAAGTGATTTTCTCAGGTCGGTGATGAGTTGAAGAAACAGAAATATAGCCAAAGGAGAGAGCACTAGAAGGAAAACGGACTGGTAAAAAAATTTGACTTCCACTCGCTGTCGTTTTAGGAAATTAAGAGAAACTTCCTTGAAAAAAGTCGTTTTTTTTCACAATTTGTAGTGTAACGTTTTCAAAACTGCTTCAGCCGCATCCTCGTCCAGGTTCAATATTTTTTAACCAAATTTTTATTGCAAGTAGCGTTCGTAGATAAAAACAAATTGGAAAAAAAATCAGCTTGAAAATAGTTAAGGAAAAAAATCGAAATTACGTAGTGTAACATTTTTTTTTCTGAAAATGTAGAATAACAATAAAATCGGATATTTCCACGCAGGATTTACATGGACTTCAAGCTGGCAAGATTATATTATGCTAATTTTATAGCCCGCATCGAGTTACTTAGGAATTCATGATCTTTAGAGATAAATTGATTTCTAACCATAAGACAACTCGTATACAACGATTTCGTGAAAATATTAAAATAAATATTAAAAAAGAAAAAAATCCCCGTATATGTACCATCAGACTGGTCTCACTGAGATCTATCGAATAATATATGACACTTATCAGTTTCGGTCGATAATAGCGAGTTTTTGGACTATAGACTCGGAAATTCTAGGGCTCTGCGAAAAAACGTAATTTCTCCGCCGGTATAAAAGTGGTAATGGAGAATTTTTTTTCTCCAAAGACTTCTCACTTAGTACCATAAAATGTACGATTTAGATTCTTTTAATTCGCAAAAAAAATTTTTTTTTCGAAACTACAACGAGATTGCAACTCACTCATATAGGAATCAAAGTTCTTAGGTGGTTTTTCAGGAAGATTCAGCATGGTCAAAGCCCCATGTTTTCATGCGAATTGGAGCTTGACCTGGTCAAAAAGTGTGCCCTTGGATATGAGGTCTAGATTCCGAATGAAAGGACGGAAAATGTACGACTTGCGTAGCTGTACAGAGGAGACTACGGGCTATCTAATGAACTCATTTTGATCGAAAAACCACTAAAACTTCCCCGATTGGTAAGGTGGTTTTCTAAAAACTTTTCTGAAAAACCACCTGAAAACTTTGGTTCCTGTATACAGTTACATCCCATAGGCTTGATTACACGACGGTAAAAATCTGATCTCGATAGTTCTTTGCCTTCTCGAGTTATTCAACTCACAATCACACACATTCATTTTTGAAATGGACAGTAACTTCTGTTATCTCTCTTTTCTCTTGTGAATCACAAATTGTTTATCAGTCGACTGATAAAAAACCTACATAATTTCTTATTCCAAGAATTCAGCATCAACTCTCTGCCGATTGATATTCAAAAGGTGACAAAGACAATTATCTGACATAACGAGAGAAACAACAGATCAAGGAGAATATTAATCTTGTTTGATCAAGTGATAGTTTTATCTACATGGTCGTTTCATGTTTGAACATTAAGGCAATTTATCAAGATAAATATTATAAAGAAAGAAAATGAAAATGTCAATTGAAGAAGTTTATCATAGAAATTTTTTTAGCATCATTCTTTTAAAATCAAGAATTAAATTCTTTTAATAAGTAATTTAAAATAAATGAGCTCAATTTTAATACTAACTCCTACAATTTAAATACTATATAATGCTTAATACCAAAAATAATCGGAATCTATTATATGCATGTATCATTATTTGTTTTAATTTATTCAGTCAATCTTTAAAGCAATAATTCACGTAGTGGACGATCAACGTTATTGAAATAGACGAAAGTTAATTTGATTGTAAAAATATTTGAACATTCTTTTAATTAAATAAATGTTTTTTATAATTTTTATTCGAAATTGTAGTCGGATTCGATTCTAGGAATTGTAGTCGGAAATTGTAGTCGGAATACCAGTAAACAACGTTTGTTCTAATCATCATATAATCTGATAATTGTCTGAGCATTATAACAACAATTCACATCTCAGTGACATTGATATCACCTTACAAACAATTATCTGATAAAAAGAGCGTATGTTCAACGTTCATAATATAACATCAAAAATTCTATTTTTATTGATTTACAGTACATCATAAAATTTTAAACGATAAAGTGCTCAATTGTTTTCTTTTTTCTTAATAATCTCACACTTTTCCTGGTGACATTTGACCTTACACTATGAGAAATTTTATTTGTTTTTAATTACTATTAGTGTATCGTTGAAATCAGATTGTATCTTCATCAATTAATACCTATGACACGTTGAAAATGGCTATAATATTATGTAAACATACAAAATGCAAATAGAAAATCATACAAAATATATACAGAATATAGAGCCTTTCTTTATTTATCTTTCTCAAAATGAACTACAAAAAAAGTCGTCTCAATTACGTCGTGTTTGAGAACATAAATATATATTATGGAAAAAAATAACCAAAATCTAACTTGTACCATTTTTTTTCTCTCTTTTTCCGAAATAGAAGATGAAGAACAGAAAGCATACGCGCATCAATATTGTTAATCGGAGAAAAGAATTTTCCCGATATATAAAGTTAGTACGGTCCTATTAAGTTTGTATTACAGATTCTATATATTCTACTGTCTATATTGTACGAAGATTATTTTTGTTCTGCCATACACATACATAGGACTGTTATTTTTTTATTGTTTTTCCTTTATTTTTTTTTCGTACATTGGCATTATTTTCTATTACCACTAACAAAAAAAGCTGTATCTGTGTGCGTATGCGTGTGTGTGTGTGTGTGTGTGTGTGTGTGCGAGAGAGAGAGCTCAGGGGCCTGTAGGAACCTTTCATCAATTAAAAACGCTCTGTTTTTAATTTACTGCACAGTATAAATTTATCAACAACTGTTGATCGATGAAAAATAATCTGGTAATGTACATTAATAACATAATAAGGCAAACATAGTCTGTAAATAAGTGTTAATTAATTCGAAACACTTTAATCTGAATAAAAAAAAGCAAAGAAAAAAAAGATCTCACGAAAATATTCTAAAAAATCTCGATAAAGTACTCAAGCATATAACGTTTCCATACCAAATATTCATGTTAATCTAACCAACGAGAGGAACCACATCAAGCGACTCTTCGACTTATTCATGGAAGATACTTTATAATAGATAGTTTTTTATGTTGATCACAAATGTGATATTCGTTTATTCCCATAGGTCCCTCATAAATGAGCCTACAGAAACTGGATTCCTAGAGAATTATGATGAACCTTCAATTGAACACATTCTGCTATCAGAATGATGGTTTCTGTAGGCTCATTTATGAAGGGCTTATGGGAAAAAATGAATATCACATCCGTGAGCAACACCAAAAACTATCTATTATAAAGTATATTCCATGGAAAAGGCAGAGAATTGCTTGGTGAGTCTCCTTAACAATCAATAACAATAAGTTCTAACAATTTTATTACTCTTTTTTACGTATAGGCTACATGAATTAACGTAAATAATGGCTAATCAATTGGATGATTCTAATCCTCTAATTGAAGAGAAAAATGGTGACAATGACAGTGATGAAAATGATGAGGATACGAACTCAAAATTATCAAACCACACAGCTCCTATCTCGACAACAACAACAACAAATTCATTATTTCCAAATAAATTATCATCGCTAACCAATAATAATCAGTCAATATCTCGTTCAAAATCACCTTCCCGTTATTCGACGTCTACAACGACACCAGATCGTGCATTAAATCAAAAATTTCATGTAGCCGCATTTAGCGGTAATTTGAGTGTATTAAAAGAACTTTTAACAAAAGCTCGTTTACCAATCGACTGTCGTGATAAAGAAAATTCAACCGCTCTATTATTAACTTGTGCTCGAGGACATTATGATTGTAGCGAATTTTTAATTGAAAATGGTAGTGATGTAAATGCTCGTCGCTTAACGGGATCAACAGCTCTCTATTTCGCTTCATCTCAGAGACACACACGTATTGTTGAATTATTATTAAAAAATAAGAGTATCGTAGATATATCAACATTTGATGGTGCCACTTCATTACACGTTGCAAGTGAAAAAGGCTACGATGATGTTGTCAAATTACTTGTAGATTATAATTCAAATGTTAATGCAAAAATGAATGATCAAACAACAGCTCTAATGTTAGCATGTCAAAACGGACATTTAAAAGTTGTACAAATTTTAATTGAATCAAATCAAAAAGTTGATCTCATTGCCCAACGATTAGATGGTATAACCGCTTTTTTTGGTGCTGTTCAACATGGTCACGAAGATATAATCGATTATTTGTTAGAGAAAAAAGGCAATGATGACAATTTTTTAACAACAATCGATCAACAACGTGAAGATGGAGCAACGCCATTATTTAAAGCGTGTCAAAAAGGTTATGGTTCCATTGTTAAAAAATTATTGAGATATAAACCAAACATAAATCTATTAAAAAATGGAGAATCTGTAAGTGACGTTTGCCTACTTCTATTATTAACTAATTCTATCAGCATCTTTGTTTTAGTGTTTACATGCTGCAACTATGTTTAGTCATTTAGACATTGTTAAAATATTAATTGAATACGGCTCAGATGCCTTACTAAACAATTGGGAAGGTATGACGGCTGTTGATTTGGCAAAAGAATTATCATCGGCTGGGGGAAGAGACATTTTAGATTATCTAATGGTAGCACTGAAACCAAAATTAAGCGAACATGCAAGACAATATTTAATGCATAAGAGTACAAGACGAACAGATGCCGATTTTGATCTGGATATAATTGGAAATGACGAACCAGATGATTGGAAATTATATAAAAGTTTGAAAAGTGCCAAACAATTAGAGTTACTAGAAGAAGAAATTGCTCATGATGGTACAATGGTAATACCAACAACAACCAAAAAACGGACATCAATAACGAATAAATCGGCGTTGGCTGATATACCACATCGATCCCATCAAGGTGCACGATCAGCACCAAGTCGACACCGCTAAACATACAAATCCTTCATAATATCATCATTATTGTGAATCATTTATATCTAGTCACAGAACAAATTTGCTACATACATTAAATTTTTTCGCCCACCTACTCTTTTATTCATAGATTTACTGTGATGCTCAATATAGGCTTTTTTTCTATTAGTGGTAATGCGCTGCTTTTTAAGGCTTTAAATAAAATCTATTACCACAATTTTAAGAAGTAGGAACGAAGTAGAACTGAGAGATTAGAACAATGACAGTTTCTGAAACATCATGTAGAACAATATCAGCTAACTATTATTATATCATTAACCTCTATAAAGAAACAGATCATGCATTTCAGATGTAAACTAATTGAATCATTTAGTCTTCAATGAGTATTGGCTATTAATAATAAATGGTGTTCGTTGATTGTTATGATGTTAAAATGCAGAAGTACAATTCAGATAATTACGAAAGACGATAACAGTGATATATGTATTCGAGTGAATTTCTGATTAATTTATTACACAAAGCCTTGTTGTAAGCAACATCTGTCTCACTTATATGACAGAAAAAAATGAGAAAATAAACAGTAGCATATTAACAGTACTTAAATAGTAATTATTAGTCTAATGAGAAATTTTATCATTTCTAAGTTTTTGACAAAGTGAGTGCTGCTAATAATAATGCAACGAAAAATAAATTTAAAACCTAAATTTTTCTCTTTCTCAGTGACGGATCCGGTCAGCGAGCGGTATGAGCGGTCGCTTTTTACGTGATAATCAAATATCATTTTTCCAAGCAACATTGCTTCGAGAATTTGTTTCTATGACGACTGCACGTACATCTATTTTTTTTACATATCGCACGTATCTAAGGATGATTCGGGATCTGCCACTGCTCTTTATGCTTCATAATATCGAATTGAGGAGTTAATGGTTTACTACAACTTTAACATAATTATATAACGACGGCCTTTTTATTTATTAATTTCTTTATTTGCTTATTCGGTCTATTTAAATATAAACGTAAAGCTTACATAATAAACCAAACAAGTTTTCAAAAGACAGACATAACTTTTATGTTAATATTTCGCTCTACACATAGAGCGTCATCAGAGCGAGAAATTAATAAATAAAAAGGCCATCGTTATATAATTATCTTAAAGTTATATGAGTATGCCTAGTAAGAACAATATAAATGGCTTACTAACTGCATAAAACAAATCAATTACATCATTTGGTTTGAATCAGAGACCATCGCAGGGCACTTTTTTTTGCCCTGCCCTGTTAGAAAATTACTCATAAAAATTTTTTTGCCCTGTCCTGCTCTGCTCTAGGGCAGGACACCCCGCAGTACAAAAGAAAGTTTTTCTCCTTAATTTAAAAGACTTCATCTTCAAGAAACTCATCACAAATACTGGATGTGTTTCTCGTGCGTAGCAGAATCTTTTTTTTTATTAATTATCAATTTCAGAAAAGTTCGCTGTCATTTTTATTTTCACATATACGAGCGATCAAAATTTTACTTAAAAAGAAGCTTGAAAATCTCAAAAATCAATCTCTCGCAGGGCAAATCAAGGAATTTTTGTTGCCCTGTCCTGCGATGGTCTCTGGTTTGAATTCTATCACGTTAAAATTGCATGTGACATTATTTCTTTATTTATTCTCAAATGTTCTACAATTTGGTAGCGAACGCTTTCAAAACAACAATAAGAACGATTAATTACGAAACAATAAAAACGACTTAGTTTTTAGCACTGATTCCAAAAATAATATTATTTTCGTCGAAAAGTTGAATTTTGATAGAGGAAACAACAAAATACGAGCTCAATTTCATTGTTTTCTTACTGATTTCGAAAAAGTTGAATTTCTCAGAAAAGAAACAAAATAAAGGAACACCCATACCTCACTTTATTCCTGACAACCGCACGGTTGGAATGGACTATAGATAAAGGCTATATCTCTTAACTAAAAGAACTAGATATACTGGGCGCTGGATCCGTTACACTTTCGACGTTAATCTGTATTGAAATGTTTTTTACTATGTTCTATGTGAACTGCGCCGAAACCAGACTTTCTTATTCAGTTTTTCTTGCTGAATAAGAAAAACTTGGTTTCGAAGCTTTAACACACAACCGCGATTCAAAAAATCGATTTTTTCAAAAATTTAGCGTTTTTTTACTAAATTTTGAAATCTTCACTTTTCTTAAATAAAATTTTTGCTGTCTGGAGTCACTTTCAAAGGCTAAACCACATATTCTAAATCAGTTCGACTAGCCCTATGCAATGATGTATAAATAAATGAAAAATAAATTGGTAAGTAAGGTTTGCATTTCCGGAACCTTAGTACATTAAACCAAATTTCGATTCAAATTCGAAGGGTTTCAGCTAATCCTGTTGTGCTTCGACTAAGTAAACGCATGTTTTCTAGGTAAGGGCTGATTTATTCATGACAGTTGAACAGACATAGATAATGCCGGAAAACTTAGGAAAACTACAAGTAGTTCAACAATCATGATAAACAAATAACAACAAACCTTAAGTCACTAGTTTTTTTTGTGACTGAGTGGTTCACATCTTACAGACAAAGACCTCTATCGTCTCAGATAAAGCCGCCGTGATACTAACTGAGTGCGACCTCTATTTCCTTATTTTTCTAGCTTCTTCTTTTAAGAAAAGATTAAATGTATGAAAACATATCACAATAAAGGTTTATTCTTTTTTAATCCAACTGTACGTTTGACCCTTTCTGAAAATAATGTGCAAAATAGTCAGTTGGAGAAAATGGTGGTAATTATTTCAACTCTGTTCAAGATACATAAAAAATAAACGCTCCGTTTAAATCGTTATAAACCAAGTTAAAAAAATTGCGTTGGTTGTGGAGCCTTTCTCTTCACTTTTGCTCTTGCCATATCTCAACCGATCAGATCTTGTCGTTAAAACTCAACTGTTTCACTTATGGTGAAGTTTTTTATCCAATCATAGTTTTGAGTCTAAAGACTCTGGTTGCTTTTTGTATTTATTTATTTCTTCCACTGTTTGTGCGGATCGATCAGATGTTAGATTTTCTGCTCTGCCATATTTTGATTACCTTCAGTGATCTATAAGTAATTCCTCTTTCAACACTCTTGAAATTTATAAGTAAAATGGTTTTCAAGTAGTGTCTCTGACAAGTCTGTTTAGTTTTCAAACTGGAAAATTGACGGGAGATTGCTTGATCTCCATAATCGATTTTCCGCAATTCACATGGTTCTCTTTTTATCGACCTTCGTCTAAACTTTGTTTGTAACAATGGATTTAAAGAGACTTAAGCTAGTCAGACTATTGTAATCTACTCTTATAGATTAGTTGTTTGTTTTAAAAATCGATAATGGTTCAACGTTTAACTTATCGTCGTCGTTTATCGTACAACACGAAATCAAATCGTGTCAAAGTGTAAGCTTTTGAACTTTCTGATATAATTTAACGATTTTTTGAAAGATTATTCGTTTTCTTTAGCGTCAAAACTCCGGGTAATTCTTGGTGATTGTGTATAACAATGCTTAACATTAAACTACTGTCTGTTTTTTTGTTACTTATATTTTAAGGTGGTAAATTAATTTATCAGTATATCAAAAAACGTGGTACATTACCAAAATGTGGAGATTGTAAAGTTCCATTACATGGAGTAAGTGATGTTTCCGCTTTTAATGATTTATGTAATACGATGGTGGGATTTCTGCTTTCCAGATTAAAGCATCAAGACCTAAACAACGTATGTCAATGTCAAAACGATTGAAAACAGTGTCTCGTACATACGGTGGTTCTCGTTGTCCAAAATGCGTTCGTCTACGGTAAGAGTCAATTAATTTAGATAAATCATAATGAGTTTATCTGTCAAAAAACAGGAGAAGATGCGTGTGTTTTTTATTTCTAAAGTTATTGACTTCTTTCTGTCGATTGAATTTTCTCCTCTTTCAAAATTACCCAAGTTGGTACTATAGGAGTGATTTGAGACATCTAAATGTGTATTTTTTCAATCTTTCAGTATTGTTCGTGCATTTTTAATTGAAGAACAACGAATTGTTGCAATGGTTATGAAATCAAAGAAAAGTACCGATGACAAACAACCAGCAAAACCCACACCAAAATGATAAAATTATAGTTTCGTTTTGTATTCATTTTCTTAATATAACTAAGTTAACATCAAAATCAATGTTAGTTATATGTGTTGTTTATTTGCGTTTAATGGAGAAAAATAAATAAATATTAACATACGATTTACTGTTACAATTCAATTTTTAGCATCTGATCATTCTGAATATGCGAACTAACTAAACGAGTTTGCATTGTTACATTTTTCATTATCTTGCTCAACATTTTATAGATTTCTGACGTAAAGCAATGTACAATGTCTGACACGAAAAACTCAACGTTAATACATCCATTCTTTGTGAAATACGCTTTATCATGCATAGCAGCATGTGTTGCAGAAACAGGTATCAATATTCAGCTTCGTTTCAAAATAAATACAAAATCATTGATAATGCTTCATAATTAGAATGATTCGTTTTCATAAATGCTATACTTTCCTAAATTGTGTACGAAAACAACTTGATCAAAAATAATCTTCGCTAGTACGCTACAAAAATGGAAAAATGAACGTTAAAATTGGTGATAATGTGAAACATCTTGCGAAATTAATAAAATTTGTGCTCTCCTGCTGCATTTGATTTGCCACTCGATTTTACTTACAGTAAAAAACTTTGTTTAGTGACATACCCACTTGATTTAACTAAAACTCGATTACAAATACAAGGCGAACGTGGTTTAACGACATATCGTGGGATGACAGCGACAGCTTTGGGCATTGGTAAATGCATACAATACGTTTAGTTTAAGTCGTTCGAATTCTTCTCTTTTTAGCACGACAAGAAGGAGTTTGGTATTTATGGCAAGGTGTTTCTCCAGCGCTTTATCGTCATCTAAGTAAGAAAGTACTATCGATTTCCACAAAGAAAAAACGGTGTTAATACCGAGTATGTCAGTTACGTATTCCACATACGAAAAATATCACAAATCATTTTTTTTCTAATTATTCTTTCTGTAGTATACTGGTTTGGGTGATCACAATTCTTAGAATACATTTTTTTTTCATATTTTTGAGTTTATACTGGTTGTCGAATTACATCATACGAACGAATAAGAGATGTGCTGGGGAAAAATGAAGATAATACGTTTCCTTTGTGGTATGAACAAATGTTGTTTTCTTTCAAATTGAAGAAATTATTGTTGTTTTTTTTTATTAGGAAATCAATTATAGCCGGAATGTCGGCTGGTGGCATGTCTCAATTTTTAGCGAGTCCTATGGATCGTGTTAAAGTTATCATGCAAATGCAAGGTTTGCGACGTTTAAAGGGCGAACCGATACAGTAAGTTAATCAGTTTAACTGATCTATGTGTGTTTTCATTTTACAATACCATTTACGTTTTGAAGGGATCAATATTATATACCCTTTATAGAGTAAAGAATGTGGCTGATGCATTCAAAAAGACGCTTAAATCGAATGGTATTCGTGCACTATGGAAAGGATGGGTGCCAAACGTTCAGCGAGCAATGCTGGTGAATCTTGGTGGTTAGTTGTAGAATATTTTACTGAATCTTTATCTAATGTCAAAAATATTTCATTCTTTTGACAGATTTGACAACGTATGACACAACAAAACATCAAATACTCAAACGCACGAATTTAAAAGATGGTCCGTTCATACATACACTTAGCAGGTATATAGTTTCAGTATGAGACAAAAGAAGAAAAAGAATAATTTATTTTATTTTAAGTATATGCGCTGGTCTTTCTGCAGCATTATTGAGTACACCTGCTGACGTTATAAAAACAAGAATTATGAATCAGTCGATTGATGAGAATGGAAGGTAAATATTTTATTATTACACTTCAGTGTTCTAAAGATTTTAAATCATTCAACATTTTAGAGGTTTATTGTACAAATCATCGTTTGATTGTCTATCAAAAACAGTTCAGAATGAAGGCTTCGCAGCACTTTATAAAGGTTTTGTTCCAATATGGGTTAGAATGGTCAGTCAAGACATAAATTGCTATTTATAGCTGATAATTTCCTGTTGTTTCTTTAGGCACCGTGGTCTTTAACATTCTGGCTAACATATGAACAAATTCGAAGATTATCTCGTGTTCAAAGTTTTTAGTTTCACTTTAACTGTGATTACTGGTGATTGCATTCTGGTGTTGTTTTTTTTACTTTTATATATAATTTGGTTTTGATTAATTTTTAAAGTGCAATTTCTTTCATTCTATAAAAAAAATTGTGTACGCCTTATGTACAAAATCATCATATTTGTCCAACATTCATAATTATTTTTATTATTAACATTTATACCAAAAATCTCATTTCAAATTTTGTTACTAAAAGTGCTTTTATGAATATTCCTATTTGTTCGATGATGAAGAGAGACAGAGATCACTACTATAAAACAACAAATGATAACATCAAACAAAAATTAGACATTTGTCATGTACAGCAAAATAAAGTTAGATATAAAAAGCGAGGACATCGATGGACAAAAAAGTGTTTTAAAAGATTCCAGTCTGAGTTAGATTGGAAATTATTTACATAGAAAATAAATCACGCCCGTACACGACACAAATCGATATAGTGACTGATGATAGATTTCATGGAATGAATCTGATAGGCTAAACAAAATAAATATAGAGTAATTATTAAAAACTTATGATTCTTAGCATTTCGATGGTAAAAACAAGATCAAAAACAATTAAAAAAATAAATAAAACAAATTAAAACAAATAACATCCTTTTGAAGCGAAGAAGATAAATAAGAGATAATAGCTGTCAGAGACTTATCCATTTTGTCCTCCTTCCTGTACGAATACTTAGTCGTCAATTGTATATAGTGCCTATAGTGTTCACCCAATTGACAGCCATGTATTCGTACGGCAAGAACAAAAAAATGAGCCATTCTAAAACTTAACTGATGGTTACTCTACACATCTGGATCTATTTCTTTGGCGGCATCAATTCATTAAATACCGAATAGCTGAATGGTTTATCATTCATCGGTGGAACCACAGAAGGATCATCTGTCAGAGGTTGACCTCGGTTTGCGCTAGCTCTCGCCAACATTTCTTCACGTGTCGCTCTAAACAAACATTCAATGAATTTTCACATACTTTTAATCCAGTTTTATACAGCTTACTTTTTTCCAACTGCTAACATGAACTGTACGGCACCGTTAACAATTAAACAGATAAAACCAAAGACTATAGAAATCGAGTGGCAAAGTATCAATGGTATGAACGGCGGTCTAAATAAAAACTTACAATACGTTAAAATTGAAAATTAAACTGGTTTTTAATTTTCTCTAACATTGTGTACAGTAAAGCTTTTTGCCATGGAGGACGCTTCTCCGAAAAGTTTGCGACTGGTCGAGTAAATTCAACAAACTGACAACATATTGGAACTTCAAACATGATCATGGCAAAACCAAGAGCACTAAAATATAAAAAATTTTATTTATAGATAATGAGAAATAGTTTCGAAGCAATGAAATAAAAAGCAAAACTCACATCAAAATAATACCACTGGCAATGCAACTGGGATATATACTCAGTGCTCCAATAACTCCACAAATCATCGCCACTAAAACATATCTAAACTACATTATCAAACAATCATATATAAAAATTAAAACAATAACAACAAAATCTAACTGAAAATAAATGATAGATTAAACTGACTTCTCTTTTTCAACTGCTCTAACAATATCATAATTCCATCGATGCTACAATTTACATATCACTGATTTATGAGAGAAATTACCTATGCCAGTTATAACTGCCACTAATCGTACGAACCATCTAAACCAGAATGTGGTTCCTTCAACCTGCGGCTGTTGACGGTCTGCATCGAGTACAGATTGAATTGTCTGCGGTATCATGACAACGATAAAGCGTTTTGTTTATATCTGTAACAAAACCGATCAAAGAGTAGAAAAATCAAGCCATTGAAAGACTCAAACTCGATTCTTATATCACACTCCTTTCGTGATTAAACATATAATGAGTCATGCCAGTATCTCTTTACAAAAACTCAAACAGTGATGTTCCTTTTCCTTATTCGATAAAAGATACAGAAATAAAGAAATATGACCAACGGGAATTAAAAAAGGAGCGCTCATGTATGTGATCAAGATGGGTGCCCGATCATTTTTCTACTGACAATCGTGACTGTCAATGTACTTTCAGCTTGACACGTGTTTATAGTCGTGATTATCTGTAGAAAAATTATCAGGCATTTATGTTGACTCATGTAATGCTTAATGATTAGTACACAGAATGCTGCAAAATCCATACAATTATTACGTTGATTTCGACGATGACTTTCTATGGTTTGTTCTTTATACGCTTTAAGTTTTCTCTTGTTACCTTTTTGCTCGCCATCTTATTGGTTTCGAAATTTGTTCTAATAAGGAACACTTCCAATTTTTGATTCGCCGAAGTTTCTCGTCCAATGATTAAAATATTACAATGTTACTTTCAAAACGACGATCAACATCTTGAAAAAAGCAAAACACAAAGCCTTGTAGTTCTTCCAGATGTACAACTGTCAATGTACATTTCTAGTAACTCTAGTGTTCTGTAGTTCGTCCAGTTTCCAACACACGCTTGAGGCTGTAATGGTCAGTAAACGTGCATTAATGCTGACGATTTATGATTTTGCATCGTTCAATGGCCTATTTCAGGGAAACATCAACAGTGATGTGACTAAACTTTTATGTCCCCAATGTTCAGGTTTCTGACTATTTTGGTCTATCGTAGATGTTTCTAGTTTTTAAACGTCATTCACTTACTTTTGTCTTCTGTTTGATACTGGTGGGGAACGCGTATGCATGGCATGATATTTATGATATATTCAAAGATGCGAAAGATCAAGTGAAAGAATCAGTTGGCGATGCTGTAGATTTTGCATCAAAGAAAGTAGTTGAAAAAGTCAACAAGCACATCCACGTAGTGAGTTTCTGAAATTATACAAATGCGATATTGATAATAAAAAAAACCTATTGTTTTCTCTTTAGAAAGGTGATCAAGAATGTCCACAAACATTTAAAACTGAATACCGAACATTATTAGCAGCTTACAGACAATTTATTGGTGATTTTATCGGAAAGTTTCCTGTAGGCACAGAAATATTGAAATTGAGCGACAGGATCCGATAACAACTCAAGTTTCTTTCTCGTTCTTGCAGTCTTATGAATCAGCTCGTTATCGATTACTGACTGAGATAACAAGAGGTGAATTCGAACGATTAAAAAGATTTTCATCGTCGTCTGCATATGATTCGAAAATATTAAATGATGCACATGTTGTAACAGACATCTTAAAGAAAATTTTTATTGCAATTGAAGAAGATAAAGCAAAGGAAAGCAAATGGACAAACTGGTTAAGAGCATTCGATGTTAATTCTGCTCTGAAAGTATGTCTTCAGAGCGATACTTGATATTACTCATGTTCAAATTTTTGACTGGGTTTTAGGGAGTCTTCTTATTATTAGCAATCTTATCCATCAGTTTTTTGAGTATTCACACTCATGTTCGTCGAGGTCGATGGTTAACAAGTTTTTTTATCATAGCATTTGTAATATCGGTCGCACAAAATTGGTACACTTTATATCTGGTAAGATGCTCTATCTATTCTAAGATAAAAATGTATTATACGTTTCAAGTTAAGAGACAGATGATCACTTCTCAAATCTAAATTTGAAAAAATGATTTTCGGTTGAAATATGCACAAGAAACTCACTGGTATAACTACAAGGTTTTGCAAAATATTTTGTAGACTGGTAGATTTACCATCGATTAAATATAGAATCGCCTAAATGCCGCAGATGTTGACGTTATTTCGATGTATTTTGAGCGAAGAATGGAAACATCGAAAACTAATTTTTGTAAATCTTGCTCTTAGAAGGTTGTTTGACCAAAAATATTTTTTCGATCGGGTTGCGCCATGGAAATCCGATACGAACACTGAACGGAAACTCCATGGAAGTCCAGGATCACTGAAAATCAAGATCTCCCTTCATTACTAGTTGAAAGTGGACATTTTGGGCTATAAAGCCATGTAAAACATCCACTATGTTCGGAAAACTAGATTGGTTTTTCCGAAGACTTTTTCAAATTCCACCTTCAAAAACGATTTTCAAGATATGGCCATCGGTCTCGTGAGGAGATGCGTCCTCTTCTTAAACTCGTTGCCAGTTTGTAGAGAACACCTTCACTGGTATGCCTAAACAAAATCTATTCAAGTATTGACAGATATCAATTAATGGAGTTCAAATTCTAACTAAATAGAACTCGAGATCATTGACTATTCTGATTTATAGTCAATGATCTCGACTCGTTCTAGTTTGATTAAAAGGATGAAGATAAAAAAGTTATTTGATTGGTATGAGTTGATCACTAACTAATGGTAATTGATGTCAGTTGTTAACACTGTCTGTGTCTTAGGCGTGTGAAAAATGATGAGATTATCAACTTCTAAAGCTGCGAGTGATTCTTGATTTTAGCGTGGCTAGATAGGTCAAAATGCCTTTTACAATTCTACGCTGAACGAGGAACAAACATTTTTTCAAAAATGGATTTTGAGACACATCGAACCATTTAATTCGTCTTCTTATGCATCTTGAGTGGTCAGACACTATTTTTCATTCATAAGAACCCATTTTTGAAAAATTTTGTGTTCCTCGAGAAAAAAAATGAGGGGGGCCAAAGACACAATTTCTGAAGCGAAAAAACTCAAGATATACTTCATTCGACGCAGTTTTTTACGCGCTCGCGAACATGTAAGACGCTGATCGCGAATATGTTGCTGGTTATTGTTTGAAATGCTGGTTTGCTAGTGAAAAATCGAGATCAATTGGAATTTTTACAACATATTGTTTCAGTGATTTCTCTCATTTTTTAAGAGATCTCAAAAAGTTGTTGACAGAGACCGAAATACTAGGCTACACAATGCTATTTGACTTTTCTTCTAGATCTTTGCTAAAAGTCGAAATTTCAGCTTAGAGTCCGATTTGACAGTATTTTCGGATTTCCTCAAAAGCAAACACATTTTCAAGATGTTTTTATACCAAAATGAACAGCCCTACGTGCTCTACGAAACTGCTGGTTAGAGACCTGCACGGTTTAAGGAATGTGACCCGACAACCTTATGGGCAAAGAAAGCAATCGTTAATCGGCTTTGTCAATCGGCAACATTTTCGACGGATTTTTGAAAATCACTTCAATAAAAACCTGCTCCAGACCGAACAAAAAGTTTTGAAACTTTCTTTTCCAGAAAAGCTATGTCTACGTCTTTGAGTTAACATATCCTAGAAGTCTGGATCGATTCTGAGATCATCAACTTCTCATCACTGGGTGATTCTTACCGAAAATCACTCTTAACGTCTGCACAAAAATAAATGGAGAGTTGGGGTTTTCAGAATTTTATACCGGGACAACTGATGATAAACATCGGCGCTTTCAAACGCCCGATTTTCAGATGGCTGTCTGATCAGTGACCAACAGTTATCAGGTTGCCAACTCCTAGAGCTATGCCTGTTCCTTGACCGCAGCATGGTGACTACATATCACAAAACGTGGTTTTTAAAAATTTGAAGTAAATATTGTGACAAAAGGCAGAGTGATCTAGAACACATGCTACCATTGTTTTGAGACTATAAGGCGTAACAGCAAAGAATCATGGATGCCTCAGAAAAATGTCTAGCGTCTGAAAGTTTTAGAAAATATTGGGATCAGTAGTTTACCATAGAATTGTAAAAGGCATTTTGACCTATCTAGCCACGCTAAAATCAAGAATCACTCGCAGCTTTAGAAGTTGATAATCTCATCATTTTTCACACGCCTAAGACACAGACAGTGTTAACAACTGACATCAATTACCATTAGTTAGTGATCAACTCATACCAATCAAATAACTTTTTTATCTTCATCCTTTTAATCAAACTAGAACGAGTCGAGATCATTGACTATAAATCAGAATAGTCAATGATCTCGAGTTCTATTTAGTTAGAATTTGAACTCCATTAATTGATATCTGTCAATACTTGAATAGATTTTGTTTAGGCATACCAGTGAAGGTGTTCTCTACAAACTGGCAAAGTTTGAGGATATGTTTAAGGAGAGGACACCCTCTTTAACTTAAAAATAGCAATAGTTGTGAAACTATTTTCATTTATGTAGGAGGCCCAAGCAAAAGTTGATGGTGTGCTAATGAAAAAAATGCCAAAACATTGTCAGGGGCACTCGATGGGACTTTTTGATATTATTAAATATAAATTTGGAGGATTATTATCTATACCAAAAGACGAATGTTTAGAATTTCACAAGGCGATGCGTGCCACGCCACATTCACAAGTAACTCCATTTCAGGTAAGAAATATGAGAATCGGCTATCATAAATAAGATGCGGGCAATAGAACCTCATCGAAAGATTTTTCTTTGAAAGAGACAGGTACTTACTTTTATTTCTCTATTGTTGATTTAGGCTCTATCAGTGACTTTCGCCCAATTGTTCTTCACACCGTTGGGAATAATCGGGGAAAGTTTATCACAGTTTTTTGCCGGAACGATGTTACATGTTCCGTTTTATATGTGGCCTATTATAATTGTGCTCATCCTCGTTATATTTATTATGCTGATGTTAATTTATTCTCGCTACGAATTACATTTACCTTTTATGTTGGGTTCGATTCGTCCATCAGCTGCTATTCAACACGTTGGACTACCTCAGCAATTGGCAGAGCCACAAGCTCAAGATGCTATAGAATGATCGTAATTGTAACACTAGCTGTCTTGAATTTTATATTTATTTTTGCAAATTTTTTATTTTTCTTATTTCGACTTATGGACAAAAACATTTGCCATTTTTACGAAAACTAAATGATGTTAAGTGTACGAAGAGAGTTGAAAATGAAGTTCATGAAGTTCATTTTACATGCTGATAGTATATATAGATAAAAGTGCAAAATACTTCGACAGTCAAGAGAGAAAAAAAATAAAATATAGAAACAAGGAATATCAAGTCATTAAAAAACATTCTCACGATCTCTTGATGAATAAAATTACTCAAAATATAGTTTGGAACATTTTCGTAGCAAAAAAAGCGGTATTAATCAAAATTATTTCGATTTTCTAGAGGGGAACCTCACCTTTGTATATATAATATGTGTACTTTTGACAGGTCATACAGTACTGAAATAGTGAATATATTTCTAACAACAATAACCTTTAAAAATAAAGAATATAGAAAAATAGGAAGAAACCTGGAAATGAAGATCTAAACTATGCGGACTATTATCTTTAAGCAGTATCTTGAAGCCGTCCCAATTGATCGTGAAAATGTTTTATAGTGACTTTTTTTGTCAACGAATTTTCTTAGCGGGATCCCATCTTTCAGATTTTGAGGGAAAACCTTGAACATATGCCATTCGATTCAATTTTTCACGTAGACTACGAATATCATATTCATTTTGTGCACAATAATATCCTATTGGTGAAATCGGGTCAATATGAGCCAATATTCGTCACATTTTTCGCATTTTTTCATTTAGAGTCTGTTCTACACGTTCTGGAACACGTTTCTTCATCATTTTTACCTTTGAAGTTCATAAAAAAGAGAAAATAGCGTTCCTGATACTTCACTTGAACTTGACACTGATTTTCACTTGAATTTTATAGAGCAAAGAACTTTATGAAAATCTTATTTCAGTACAAATGAGACCCTTAGGGGGTTGATCTGGATCAGAAGTGGTACTCATCTATGATAAACAAAAGAATTCTTTCATGAATTAGGAAAGCGCTTAGGAAGCGCGAGAAAAATGCATGTGATATTCGTAATCAGCATGATCGATTACATATATTTCGCCGAAAGTTTTAGGAGAATTCGAAAATCTGAGTAACCAGTTTTGTTCAGAATTTTTCGCTGGTCACGGCTGTATAGTTTTTTCCGAAAAATATGTCAGGATAAAAAATGACCCTAACGCTACGACTCGTTTCGAACCAATTTATTTATTTTTCTTGTCTAAAATTGTCATACGGTGTGTATTTTTTGTTTACTTTCGACGAATAGAAATTTATCTTCGATCAATACATAGTCAATATCAACAGAAATCTGACATGAGATGTTTCACGCTAATGATTTTTCATTTGAATCGTCCGCTAGAAAACATGTTTTTTGGCACAAGAAAACTAGATTCGATCGTTGTACAAACGTAGTGAATAAAATATTAGAAAAAGTGTAGGTTAACCTCCAACGAAATAACAGATATTATTTTTAACAAGGACAAGGATAACACTTCGAACATTTTTATTTTTCTTAATCACAATAATTGAATATCAGTTTGGTTCGTACAGATCAGTTGAACGATGTACATTGCATTGTAAATATGGTTATAAAACTAGATTTGATTGTAATTAAATTTATTTTTTGTAAAAGAAGTCCTTGTAAAAATGATGCAAACCATTCAGAAATTATTTTTATAGTCGTGGAATTAATCGGCAGGATTGTCCTAGACATTATTCATGTGTTATATCGCCACAGATGCGTATGCTGTTTACTGTCCAAAAAAAAATTTAACAAATAATTGGATCATGCCCAGGACAAAATGAAATTGGCATATGCATTCCTCTCGATGTACGAAGGAGTTACAATGTGAAGGTGATATGCAATGTTGTGGTAGTTGTCCGCGTTAATGTGTTAGACCGGTTTAAAAGTTCAGAAAACTCTCATGTTAGTTATAAAATTTGTTTTTTGTTTTGACTGTTTTTTTGTTCAAAGATAAACTATTATGTATCTACCTGAATTGAAAATGACTATCGAATAGCTGAACTATGCTTGTATAATGCGACATGTTTCTCTCTATGTGTACTGAAAGAAGTACTTTAGTGAATGTACTGGAGATTGAGTACTTAGGTACTTGCTTAGGTACTTACTTTTGCTACTTGGGCCCATGATTCTTGAAGACCCGTTTTTCTGAAAAACCAGTTTGTCAGAAACTCTAAAAAATAACCAAAACCTTTTCTTAATGAGGCCTGATTGTGACCTGCAAATTTCTGATTAAAAATAAGATGTCTCCCAGCTCTACACGACCTGTCTTTGCAAAATTACAGAATTTACAAGAAAACCCCAAATATTCATTGTCAGCTCAAAGATACAGAAATAACAAATTAATTTAGGGCTTTTGTTGTAAATTCTCTAACTTTGCAAAGAACGGTTGTGTAGAGCTTGGAGACGTTTTATTTTAATCAGAAATTTGCAGGTCACAATCAGACCTCATTAAGAAAAGGTTTTGATTATTTTTTAGTTTCTGAAAAACTGGTTTTCCAGAAAACCAGATCTTCAAGAGCCATGGGCCCGGATCCTCGAACGCTCACTTTGATTTAAAAGCATCTTGACATTTCTAACTTGTAATCTGAAAAACGTTTCTTTGTGATACTTATTTATTCTGAAGCATCCGTTATATATATCTAGAAATCATACATTTTGTCAGGGTTTTCTTCTGCGCTGTTTTCCTCCTTTTACATATCGAATATTCCGTCAGACAACATCAGATTTGATTTTAGCGTGCTCCAGTTTTTAGAGGTAAGTTTCTCAATTTTAGTTCCGATTGAAACTACATTCATTATATTTACTTTTACTCAATACCATGTAGGCTGTTATAGTCATGTTTATTTAGAAAATTTGTTATTGCACAGGTATTTTATTAAAAAATATCATGGTTCTACCAGAAAACAAATATAAAAGATGAAAAAATAGATAACAAAAAAAAATCACCGTAATTTCGTTGTTGGAATACTATCACAGAATGCTTTGTCTATCTGATACGTTTTTAACTTTTGTCAAACAGCTTTACCATGTCTTTGACTGATAATTTTTTATATTCATCTTTGTTACTCTCACTATTATTCGTACCCTTTTCTTTCAAAGATATAATATTTACTGATGTCTTATCTAAGGGCCGAAGTTTTGATTTTTCTACTGATAAACTGAAGTCAACTATTTGTTGCTTTTTCAAAGATGAATTTTGTAATTGTTTTTTATTATTTAATAATTCGTCTTCATTTATATTCTGATAAATACTTTGAATAGTTTCATTATTATCACGCTGTAGACTGTCTATTTTGGTTGTCTGTTGAATAAGATCTGGCATATTCATATAATGTGTATCAGAAGTACGAACTGACGTTTGGTCATTATCGGTCATCGACGATAACATAGATTTATCGTCATCTTGTAATATTGGTTCCTACGAAAACATATGCAGAAGAGATAAATCAAGTATGTGAAGAACAGAAGAGCTCAACTAACAATACATAGGCAATAGCTCATTATTACCTTTTGTAAATAATTTGATGGTATCCATGCAAGTATTCCATTAACACTAGCAAATGACCATCCACTGTCGTGTTCATAACGAACCTAGAAGGGAGAGTTTGAGTGCTTGAAAGACAAATTATATGTTTCTATTTTACTTCTATAATCTGACCACGTTTAAATGACACCGAATCTCCCACATCATCGGCAAAATCTGTATGTGCATAAAATATCTGAAATTGTTTCGATGGATCTCCGTTCGCGTTTGTCTGAACGTTCATGTTGTCATCCTAAATTATTAGAGAAATAAAAATAAATGGTGTACTACTCCTAAAATTGCTCTTACCATGATACTGTCATGTTTGATTGCCATTTCCTTCTGATTATTGTTTGATTGCTCCTGCTGAAAATGTTGCAAATGATTCCTATGCGTTATTTTACTTGTTAAATTCTCTTGTGGTGTAAAATTTTGTAACGAAGAGCTATCATTTGACGATGAGACATCATTGGCTAAAATAACAAAAAAAAACTACAGCTTTGAATTGACTCATACACAGAACACATACTTGTAGTTGGTAATCGATGTGATATTTGTGGAGTAAAATCCTCTATTGTTCGACCTTCACAATTTGTCAAATAAATTGCTGGAAATATACCAATAGAATGGTTATAGCTAGAACAATGATCAGTAACAAATCAGTGAATTATTTGATTTTGTTCTAACACCCACTTCACTCTCCACCATCCTGTGTAAGCTTTTTCCATAACATGGACAAATGCACCTTTTTCTATGCTCAGTTCGTCAGGATTTACTGCAGAATAACTGTGATTAACCACATGTGGTTCATCTAAATAGATCAACAGTCTTCACAATTGAAAATACGGTTCATCACGTTTGTTACTTAGAAAAGCTTTCAATGTTTTTGTTTCTCGTTCGCCTTTCGGTAGACTGGATGGCTGCAAATAAGGACCAGGAACAAAGCCCGATTTGTCACCATGTTGAACTAACCACCAACCTTTCGAAAAAAATAGTAATAATAATGAATGGACAAAAGATCAAGTTTTAGAAGAAAAAAAATGATCCTACCATTCGTGTGTTTTTGAATAACTTCAACCAGTTCTCCTTTTTTCAATGACATTTCAGTTTTCTCTACGGCTTGAAAATCATCTAAACATCGATAAACTGGTAATTGTACGGGATCACTGATCACGGTGACGGATGTTGATGGTTTTACATCACTAAGTAGAAAAACAGAGTTACATTGTCTATCGACTAACAAAACAATTTTATCAAAATACCTTATTTCTCGTTTGGGAGGTTGAACATCAGTCACATTCGGTCGAAAAAAATCAAGTATAATCGAACAATGTGATACTTTTCTTGGAAGTTTAATTAATTTCTAAACAACAGCAATATAGATATGATATTTAAGAAAAATATATATGAACTTTCTGATCTTGTACAAACCTGACAATAATCATTAATCGGTCCTTTTCTGGACAAAGCCACATCTCTTATATGACTTCGGCCAAAAATTATTTTACCTAAATAAATACACAACATATAAGTGTTAACAATAAAAGATTGCTTCACTAACCAGGTAAAAATGGTATTGTCCGGTCCGTAGAATCCATGCCAGCATCTTCTGGAAATAAGTCAAGTAGTTTACACTATAACAAAAAATAAATAAATAAATAAATAAATAAATAAATTTAAAAGTATTATTTCTACTAGATGTATCTACTTGAAGATCAAAAAACTGACAATATCGTCTATAAACAATATTGATATCATGATTTGTCCAAATTACTTGAATCACATAGACCTATAGTAAAAAATAAAAAATACTATTTTTATAATAAATTAATGTTCACTTACATAATGCTTTGATGGTTTATATCGTTTTTCTATGTCTAATACGCGGATATCAGAAATAAAAAAATTATCTACGGTAGCCGCCATTATCTCAAAAACAATAACTGAATCATTTTAATTCCACATTTAATCACTGTTGAATAATTTTTAAAACGATCCAACTCATACAAAGTCTCTGTCGAAAAACGATTGATTTCCACGATTTTGTATGATCAGATAATTATTATCTTCCTTTATTGATCGATTCTCGGTCTTATTTAAAAGAACTTATAGAAAATCAATAAAATGTTAGTGCAAAATGTTTATTAAAAAGTAACAACTTAACAAACAAACAAATATAGTAAACAGCACTATTTTTGTAAAGTCAATTTTGCAAATAAATCGTTTAAATCAACGGATAATATTTTCCAACTGTTTTTTATTTTATTTAGATCTTTGACTGATGGATTTTTCCATTCATATTCACAACAAAATATCACTTCATTTATATCTTCATCCAATTTTATAGTATAAACATATTTAAAATAAGACATAAGTTTCTTAATACAATCACTACGATTATCGCTTGTACGAGATGCAAAATTCATTACAAATAAACCTAAAGAAAAAAATAATAATATTGACTGTTAGACTCTAGTCCGATTGTACAGCTGATATACTGACCTGTCTCTGTTAAACTCGATTTAATATTTTTTAAAACCTGTTCATCAAGAAAAGACGGTGCTGGACATCGTAATGGACTTTGTGGATCACCATTGTTGACATCCAATATGATTGTATCATATTGTTCTAGAACAATAAAAAAATAACATAAAAACAAGATAAATGCTCAACAGAAATACAAATATTCATACGTTTTGATTGTTGAGATGTAGTAGCCAAAAATTCTAAACCATCGATCACAATAGATTGAATACGTTCGTCACTTTCATCAAATCCAAACCACTTTTTTCCAATTTTAACTATTTCACTATCAATATCGATACCGGTAAGAGACGTCTAAATATATCGATATTTTTTTAAAAAATACAAACATAAACAAACGTTCATCGTACTTGTGGAAAAGTTTTTGCTAATTTTGTTCCAAGAATTCCTCCACCGAGTCCAATCAGTAATATTCTACTTAAATTCTCTAAAATAGAGAGAAATACATATATTGCATACAAGAAATAATTATTTGATTTAACTTTACTTTGATCCATATATAGTGCTTGCAGACAACACAGTATTGCACCATGATAATCATCATTTAATATTGAATGATCAGGAATTCGAGAAATATCTTAAAATTAATTGATGATATGCATAACCGATCAATTAAAGTTTAAAACAACAAAGAATACCTCCAGCTTCGTTGGTAATTACTTTTAAATTTACTTCACTTTGTATTACAGTTGGATTTGATTCAAATATTAATCGTCTTTTCCATTCGTTTTCATATTTACAGTCTTCTATTAAATATGGTCCACTTAACTCTGATGCTGAACGTTCACACATGTGCACATCACCGATGCCTTCGGCTGATGACAAGAATGGAATCTATTATAATTAAACTCTATACTTGAACTAACAAGCAGTCATTTAATTATGTATTTTTATTTTTATACCTTTGTATTATGCGGAAGATTTACTGGTTTAAAATCAACAACAATTGAACTTGTTTCTGCTTTAACTTGATCTAAATCTATATAAATTTGATCTGATTGTAAGTAAATAAAGATTAGACAATTATATTTTGCACTATTAATAACATCTTGACGTCCAGCCGATGTGGCAAATAACCAATCACGATTTCTAAGAAAAACAAAATATTGAATATATTTATTATTTTTTAAAAATCTTTTTTCTTATACCTTCCTTTTGGAACAATGAACGCAGCGAATAATTGTTTATATTTTGTTTTACTATTTGTTGCAATTATTTGATACCGTTTTAAATTTGTTTTAGTATCAAAAAAATCAATTGTAGGCGTCTCACCACCAGACACAAATCTAAAATAAGTGCATATGATTTTATGTTGATTGATAAAAGTTTAATTGTTGATATATATATATATACTTTTGTTTAAATTCATATTTTTTGAAACATGTTATTTGACATTCTTGAACGGTTTCAATTGCTTTATCCAATGAATTACATCGAAATAAATTCGAAGAATTGTATAATTGAATTTCAATAAACTAGAAGACAAAGAAAATAATAATAATTCAGAAATAAGACAAAGATAGTGTTATTTCAAAACATACAGGAGGATTTATATTCATTTTTGTAAAAACAAATGCAAACACTGGCAATGAAAAATTTTTTTTTGTTACAATATGATGATAACGTAATAGCCACTGTCTAGAGAAGAGTAAAATCAATATGAGTAATTATTCTTGGAAAATGTTAATAAGCAGAGCTCTGAAGGGATTAAATTTAATTAGATTGAAAAAACACCTACGTGTAGCTGACATATATACAGTGTGTAACAGAATTGATCATACACCCTCGTATAAGCCTATGATTAATATTTTTCGGAAACAGAATCACCTGCAAGGTTCAGAGTTTCGCTAAAATGTTTCAAATTTATTGTAGTTTATTTGATTAAAATAGGACGTGCTTGTATCATATAGTCATTGTGTTAGGCCAGGAAAAGTGAAATGGATAACTTTCTTTGTCCAACAAAACTGATGATACAGTTGAATTTTTTAAATTTTTACATAGTAAACTTTAGTTTTAATTTGATAAAACGAGCGTATTTTGTGCAGTTTTTCTCACTCATATGTACTTCAGAATTTTAAATCAAATAGCGGAGAAAAAGAAAACGTAATATAAAACAGACATTTTTTTTTATGTGTTTTCAATAATGTTTTGTAATGTTTCTCGTAAAAAATTCATATTTTCATAAAAGATTATTTAGTTTTCCAAATCGTGTTCATTCAGTTCGTCACACAAAACTGTAGAGCTAAAAAAAGAATTGAAAATATCGAAAAAAATGTCTGTTTTGTATTTCGTTTCCTTTTCTCCACTGTTTGGTTTTAAATTCTGAAGTACATATGAGTGAGAAAAACTGCACAAAATACGCTCGTTTTATCAAATTAAAACTAAAGTTTACTATGTAAAAATTTAAAAAATTCAACTGTATCATCAGTTTTGTTGGACAAAGAAAGTTATCCATTTCACTTTTCCTGGCCTAACACAATGACTATATGATACAAGCACGTCCTATTTTAATCAAATAAACTACAATAAATTTGAAACATTTTAGCGAAACTCTGAACCTTGCAGGTGATTCTGTTTCCGAGAAATATTAATCATAGGCTTATACGAGGGTGTATGATCAGTTTTGTTACACACTATAACTAATCAGAGCTCTGATAGCCTACCTATTTTTGTTAGTTTTTTCCTCACTTAGTCCAAAAATATTCTGAAATATGCTTGAGAATGTGTTCTTGAGCCAACGAAATACATATAAAACGTCCATTTGAACGAATGACGCGTGCTACTTCTGTTAATATTTGATCTATATCTGATAAGACCTTTTATGAACAAATAAAAAAATTCTAGTTTAAATCTATACTACAGAAATATAGTAAAACTAACCTGCACACTTTTGTTCGACATTAATGCATCGATTGTACTGAAATAAATCAAAATTGAGTAGTGATTTTAATTCTCTTAAAAAATGATCACAACTCTTACCCTTTATCCAATACAACACTAAACTGATCGTCGTTGTACGTCATCTAAATATTAATAAAGTCATTAGCAAATCAGAAACTGTGTGACTACTTTTAACGTCAAGTTGTTTCTAGAAAAAACATTAGACTATCTGTTTGAGATAAATTTTAAAAGGCAGTTCATGAAATTTCAAACCATCAACACTTTTAATAAAATTTAGATTTTCAATCTCTTTACTATATTTGAAAGAGATTTTGTATATCTCATCTTTCTCTATCAAATCGTGTGTAAATCAAAATTTTTTATCATCAGCTCCCGCACATTACAAGATTTACCATTTTAAGTTATTAATTTAAGTTTCGTTGTAATAATGCAGAATTTTGTTCAGTATTTTATTTTAATCTGACAAAAAATATCATACTCGTAATCTACGAATAAAACTCTATTAAACAGTGTATTTGACAACTATTGTAGACGTGTAGATAGCCTCCAATACTATGGATTACTTTATGTGTCATCATCATTCGTTTTTTATCACATATAAATTCCACTAAATTCATCTCCATCTAATATCTTTATTTCTTTTTTTGAAAGAAAAACCATATTCTAAGGACTAAAACTAACGTTGTCTCATGTAACTTAACCCCATGAGTTCTGTCCAACCTTGTCAAAAAAACGAAAAGAACTTTGCTTTATTTTTGAATCTGCCACCGTACATGACGACGTTTTGTAGTTTTGGAGAAAGTTGAAAATACTAATATCATAGTAAAATCATCATTTTCAATGACACCAAAAATCTTAAAATGTTCCGTGTTTTTGGAACGAGGTTTCTAAGAGCCAAACCTGGATTCAGTGGTTATTTGAATGACTCTTTCGAATGGTGTAAAAAGGTTCAAAATCTAAATTTCATCGACAACCAACTTTTTGAAAAATTGGTCGATTTTCTCGCGGAAGTTGTCTTAAGTCCTACATAGAAACAAAAATTAGTAGTGAGTTGTTCTATTCTTCGACTTCTTTTTTCCTATAGAGAACTGTATTCTTTTTTTTGTGTTAAAGAACGAGAAAATCAATCTCAAAAATGATATCTCGTCAAATCGATAGCTTCTTATGTGTCTTCTACTATTTCCTCGAAGTTATCAACATCGCTCGATACTTTCAACATTCATTTGAACACCGGTGACTGCTTTTTCATATCTCAATAAGAATTATAGAAAAAGCTTGAATATTTGTTAGAAACACGTTTCAACGGAGCACGATCGATATTGATCGCTAAATATGAGTGGAAATATGCACATTAATTAATGACAAATCGTGTTAAAAATATTAACTAAGATTCTCAACAAATCATCGGTTTCAGATAATCAAAAAGGCAAATTACTGAGAAAAGATCTCAGCTAAAGAAACAGAAGCATTTTACATAAGTTAAATATTTTGCAACAGAGACTGATGAAAAATTAGATTCGAGAACAACGACATTGATGTTGAACTACGTAAAATATTAGATCAAAAAGAGAGAAAACGAAATTCTTCAAGAGAAAAGTGAATATTTCATAAATGGTTCGATTCGTTTCTGTGTTAGAGTAAAAACAAAAAACAAATCTCATCATATTATCTAACATTAAACTACCACAATAAAATGAACATTGTATAGATGAAAGATTGATTCTTCGATAACCTGATCTAGTTATAAATATTTGACAAGCAACTTGTCGATTCAGTCCAAATCAAAAAATAGTAAACTCTTTTACCTGACGAGCGTCCATTGTTGAATAAATCATTTTGTTTCGACGTCGATTATCCTTTTGCATTTTGTTTATCACAGTTTCTGATATATCAATATTATGAATATTTTCAATGCCAGAATCATATAAATCATTGCTTAAACGAGAATTTCCACAACCAATTATCAAAACACTATCTTTTGGTTTTACGTATTTATTCAATACAGGCTCGAGATCACAATAATCTGAATACCTAAAGAAGAAGAAAAAAGAATGCTAAATGTATTTGAATTTGAAAAAAAGCAACTAATTACAAACCATTCAAATGCTTCTTGGCCAACATTTTCAAAAAATTTGTCCCAATAAGATGTATCGCGAAACTCTTCGACGGCCTTTGGCAGAAGATTCATTATCTACTATGTTCTTAAATTAATCAGAATGAAATAAACTGTTGTGATAATTTCTTAACGCAAACAATAACTATAATACACTTTTCTTTCTGTATGATTGTCTCTCGCTCTGCCAGAAGGGGGACTGATACGTCATTTACCCAGGGACCTGAGTAGGTGCCGGACATTGGGGGGGATGTAACGAAAGTTTTTTGTTCGACATAGTGTAAACTTTATTTTAAATTTCACGTTCGAGGTGGTGTAAACTCTGTTTTTGGAGGGGTACGCATCCCCCCAAAATTCAGGTCTCTGCATTTACCTAGACCATATAACTCAGACTGAAAATTTGATTAATGAGTACTTCACTGGTTTTTAGCACCGTTCTCGAACAGTTCAGCGTGTTTTAGCACACGAAATGGATAGCGCACAATGATAGTTCTGACTAAAATTCCTAATACAGAGAGAACCTAAGCGTAGTTAAGACTTCACTTCAGTATCACAAGAAAATGGGTGGTACTGCATATTAATCCGTCAATAATAAGACTCAGAAAATAATGTTGATTATATGACATAGTGCTTGCGGTTAATTAATTAACTGCCTGCTTAACTAAGCCTAGAATAACTGAAAAGTAAGAGTATTACAATACAGTTTACTTTTGATGACGATAACTAACATACACCATCGTTTTTTCAGCATGACTCAGAGGCACTCGATTGGTAGAAAAACAAGTAAAAAAGTGCAGCGCCACTAGAGGTCTGTATTTACTGGACATGCCATGACGTCAGAATTGCCTAACCTTTGCGGATTTATCGCGATTCTGACGTAAAATTCCGGGATTCGGTTCCGAGAAAAAGGAACCGTCTAAGAAACGGTTCCGATTCTATTGTCAGAACCGGCAGTGCGGTTCCGATTCCGAGAACCGAACATCCCTAACGAAGGAATTGAAGTTAGCGAGCAGAATAGGAAGATATCGAAAACAGACACCAGGAACAATATTTTTTTACACTGAAATGATTTCCAAGTTATTTGTTGAACCGTATGCCTGTTTTGGATTCTAATAAACTACAATTAACTTTAATTAAAAAACCAGTTTTTTTCTGGAAAAAGATATAAAATCGCGTTCATAAAAAGAACTAAAAGCATCTGAGTACAAATCCTATTTAAGGAAAAAAGCATTTTTGTCTAGAAGTACCGACTCAAAACTTTGTGTTTCTTTCGTGACCGCATGTACCTAAGAATAATTCTTGATCTGCTGGACGTAGACACGAATATTTTTTTGCCAACGATGAGAAAAAAAGCGTGTGTGCAGATCGTTAAACCCCGCTAATAATCATCAAAAAGATGGTACAACAAGTAGCGAATCACGCACGTTAATATATACCGGCTAGAATACTATCATTACTGGCAAAATTATGACGTTAAGTACGTTAGCAGGTGATAGTAGAAGAATCCGGATACATAATCAAATTTAGTTCAACCAAAAACTCTTCTGCATATCACTGACAGAAAAATAAGGTTCTTGCGGAGTCGCGGAAAAGTGCTTTTTCGTATTCAGCACACTCGATAACCCAGGAGATTTTGATAAGCCCGGGAGGTTCGGTTTTCGCCATGTAAAAGAGAAGACTTGGAGATATGTTTCCACAATCAGAATTATTTCAGAAGGATTTTCTGAAACAGGCCTTTTGGGAGATCTTCGCAAACCTAGGTTGTGTGTTAAAATTTTCCAATAGGATTATGTTGCTTTTTTCATGGGCTGATAGCCCGGGATGTTCTTGTGAAAATGGGAATCAAGCGAGACCTAGATTTTCTACGGCTCGGGCGGATTTCCTATGAGTCCTAAGACTGGCATCTGGTGACTATTGGTAGCCTTGGAGACGTGTTCTGTAAACAGGATATAGAATAGAATAAATGCTGTACATACTGAAGTTTTGAACTCGTTCTGATGCATTTTGAGTGAATAGTGAATCATTTAATATTAGGTGAAAACAGTCTGAAAACTGTAATTTTCGTAAAACTCCCTTTTTCGCTAGTTTTTAGAACTTTTTGTAAAAGCAAATATTGCCACGAGACTCAGCATGATCGATTACCTATAGTCCATTGGCTTTCAAGGCTACCAATAGTCACCAGATGCCAGTCTTAGGACTCATAGGAAATCCGCCAAAGCCGTAGAAAATCTAGGTCTCGCTTGACTCCCATTTTCAAGAGAACATTCCGGGCTATCAGCCCATGAAAAAAGCAACATAATCCTATTGGAAAATTTTAACACACAATATTAGATTACAAAACCTTAACTTCATCGGTTTTCTACTGAAATTGAAAATGAAAAGTGTTTTTTATAGTTTTGATGACACTTAGTAATTAAGCGTTTAGGTTAAACTGATATTGAAACATTTGGATGTGAAAAATTTTATAGTAGTTCTGTGAACGACATAATCGACTTCATGTTACACTCTACAATAGTATTTTGTTCATTACAAACGATCTTCAATGACTTTCGCCAAGACTCACTGCTGCAAACTTCACAGAAAAAATTAAATCAAAAATAGAGCTTGTAATAATAACGGGTGTCACAAATGTATACAATTCTATATCAGACAGAACATAACAGGAAAGAGCGCTGGTTCACCGTGTTTTCTTCAAGTTTACATAGATGTTAAAGGAGCAGTTTATCAAAAACTATGTTATCAAAATCACCTCCCTAGTGAATGTACTGAGCTAAGGGTACCTGAAAAAGTACCCTGCTACCAGTATGTCACAGGAACTTTCGGGTACTGAAGTACCTTAAAGTACTTTTAGGTACGTATAAGGTACTCGGGCGGGTAC